AAGAACTATAGGCTCTATATTTGCGCCATATCGCAGGATGTCCACCAGCAGCGAGCGTCGTGAGATTGTCATTGTGGGTATGTTTATGGTTTCAGTCGATCGACCCCGCACGATTGATGCTTCTTTATGCTGACAACCTGTTTTCAGGCGGTGGTATCATCGGATGCTGCTCAGCTTACTACCTGACACGCCATCCGTCCTTTGACCCATCTCGCCACTCGGTGACTCTGATTGAAGCAACCGAGATTGCAGGAGGGGCGTCGGGAAAAGCTGGTGGTCTTCTGGCTTTATGGGCCTACCCGAGCAGCATCGTGCCGCTGAGTTACAAGTTGCACGCCGAACTGGCCAAGGAGCATAATGGCACGGATCGATGGGGGTATCGTGAAGTCAACTGTGGGCAGCTTATCATCGACGGTCGACGACTGCCTGAAAAGAAAAAGCAAAGCGGGGGGAAATCAGAAGAGTCCGTGTCGCTGCAGAAACGAAGCGCCGCTGCCTTGGAGAAGCTGAAGTCTGCTCGAGTGCCGAAAGACCTGGATTGGATTGAGCCTGAGCTTGTGAGAGGCTATGAGAGCATGAGTGATCCTGGAGAGACAGCCCAAGTCCATCCTTACCTGTTTACCACTTCCATCGCCAAGCTAGCCGAGGAAAGTGGTGCAAAGATCACCCTGGGATCGGTTACTGGCATCAACTACTCCGAGGACGCTGTCCAGTCGGTGACCTATACTAACAAGAAGACCGGAGAACCGCAGACCATCTCTGCAACTGATGTCATTGTTGCTGCTGGTCCCTGGACGAGGGCCGTCCTGCCGGAAGCACCCATTTCGGCGACTCGTGCCCACAGTGTTGTGATCCGGCCCCAAGAGCCGGTCAGCGCATATACCCTTTTCACCAACATTGCGCTACCGGCCAATTTTGATCCAACCAAGCCTTCCCGTCCAGATGTGGCAAGCCCAGAGATCTATGCTCGTCCGGACGCCACAGTCTACGCCTGTGGTGAAGGTGATCAAACTGTTCCCCTGCCTCCGACGTCCGCCGAGGTCGAGGTTGACGAGATGCGATGCCAAGAGATCATCAACCAGGTCGGCAGTATATCTGATCACCTTCGCAATGGAGAGATCTGCGCGCGACAGGCTTGCTATTTGCCAAATGTGGCCGCTGCTCGTGGGGGCCCCATGATCGGCCATACGGGTACGAAGGGATTGTATCTAGCAGCTGGTCACACCTGCTGGGGCATTCAGAATGCGCCTGGCACTGGTAAACTCATCAGCGAGTTCGTCTTCGATGGGGAGGCTAAAAGCGCACGCATCAGAGCGCTTGACCCGAGAGAATACTTTTGAAGGACGCATAGATACATAGAAGCTAAATAAAGTAGATAAGTTACTGGTTGCCTTCTTCTACACAGTATATGCGTAACCCAGCCTGCAGAGGTACTAGCGCAGGTACGTCGTACCTTGGCCCAGCGGCCGCGGCACTGCGGAGCTTGGGCCACGTAAGTTGCGGAGCGGAAGAGCGGCCGATGCTCCTGCGGATTAAATGACAGATAGTTATTTCACACTGCGTACCACCACCACCACCACCATCACTCACTCTACCGGGGGAAGCTTTATCGATTTAGGCTTCTTCCCATGATCGATCCCTATCAGTGAGACTTGCAAATTCTCATTCGATGCTTTCTCTGGAAAATGTATCTCTCTAAACTTCCATTACTGCTAGCGCCGTTACTCAATGCCGCTACGGTGTTCTCCGACCAAGCTCCAGCAGATGATCTGTCAGTCTTGACCAACGAGGTTGCAAGGGCCAACAACCAATCTCTACTATGGGGCCCTTACAAGCCGAACCTGTACTTCGGGGTCCGCCCTCGAATTCCCAACAGCTTCTTCGCCGGGTTGATGTGGGCCAACGTGGACGACTATGCCACGGCACAGCAGAGTAAGTGTAGCAGTGATGTGTCTTCTTTGTGAAGGGCATTCGGGGTGCACATAACACTGACATACCGAAAAGACTTTAGGCACACATGCGAACAGAACGAGGGGATGGCCGGATACGGCTGGGACGAGTACGACATTCGGAAGGGTGGCCGCCAGACAATCCACGACGAAGGCAATGCTCTCGACATGACGATCGACTTCATCAAGGTCCCCGGTGGACAGCATGGAGGCAGCTGGGCTGCCCGTGTGAAGGGTGTTCCCCGCGAGAACGGCTCCCCCGATCAGTCTACGACCGTTGTTTTTTACACTGGGCTGGAGGGACTCGGAAACCTGGGCGTGGCCACTGAATTCGAGGACTCCCGCGGCTTCGAAGGCGACGTGAAGCTTACGGGCTATACCTCGGACCTTGGTGCTTTCTCGGTTGATGTCACTGCTGGTCCCGCAACCAATGATCACCCTGAGAATGACCACCCATCCTACGATGAAAAGCCCCTGGACCGGACACTGGTGTCTAGCTTGGCTTTGAACCCGGAACAGCTGTGGCAGACCAAAGGTATGCTTTATCCATCAGTGGAAATGTTTTCCCACTTTGGTAATAACTAATGACATTGATAAAGTGATTTTGTTCTCCAAGATGAAGGAAGAGGTTGATGCTGCTATTGAGAAGCACGGCCAGGAGAACCCCCCGCCTGCTTCTCAGATCTTCACGATTAAGAACGAACCCGGCGATGGAAATATCCATCTCGTGCAGAAGGTGTTCAAGGGTGCTTTTGAGGTAGGTAACATACAGAATAACTCTTATGGTAGCTAATTGCTAACTTCAGCCAGTTCGATATTCTTTTCTCGTCCGGATCTTCACCGCTACCGTTGACATGTGAGAAAAAACAAACCCAACAGCTCTGGTGACTATCGACTAATGGTTTAAACCAGCGGAAATATTGACTGAGCAGATTAGCACGGCATCTCTCGCCTTCTCTGATAGATTCGAGAAGATTCATCCTCCGCAAGCTCCTTTTGACACGGCGGAATATCTACAGTTCTCCAAGTCGATGTTGTCCAACCTTGTCGGTGGCATTGGTTACTTCCATGGTACAGATATTGTTGATCGATCGGAGGCGCCTGAGTATGACGAGGAGAATGAGGGCTTCTGGGAAGAGACTGCAGAAGCCAGAAGTCGGGCTCGTCCTGTTCTCGAGGGACCCAAGACCCTCTTTACTTGCGTTCCTTCCCGCCCTTTCTTCCCTAGGGGTTTCCTTTGGGACGAGGGTTTCCACCTGATCCCTGTTGTTGACTGGGATATGGATCTAGCGTAGGTTTTCACAACGCCCGGGACAATTGCTTGGGCTTCGCATTTTGGATTGACATTGCTAACGTCGAGTAGACTCGAAATCGTCAAGAGCTGGTTCAACCTCATGGATGAGGATGGCTGGATTGCTCGGGAGCAGATTCTCGGCTCGGAAGCTCGCAGCAAAGTCCCATCCGAGTTCACAATCCAGTATCCCCATTATGCCAACCCTCCGACTCTGTTCGTCATTCTGGAGGCTTTCGTCGATAAGCTCGATGCTAAGAAGAATGCTTCGGTCAACCGGCCGTCTGACTATGAGATCACCGAGGGCCTCAACTCAGCTTTCGTTGAGACCCCAGAGTTGGGCGATGCTTATATGCGCTCAATCTACCCTCTGCTCAAGAAACACTACTTCTGGTACAGGAAGACTCAATTTGGAGACATTAAGTCCTATGACCGGGAAGCATTCTCAACCAAGGAAGCATACCGCTGGCGAGGAAGGTCTGTTCAGCACATTCTGACCTCGGGCTTGGATGACTACCCTCGGCCTCAGCCTCCCCACCCCGGCGAGCTGCATGTCGATTTGATCAGTTGGATGGGTATGATGACCCGTGCCATTCGTCGTATCGCCGAGGCACTTGGAAATGAAGAGGATGCCGAACAGTTCAGGAATTACGAGATCGCTATCTCGCGGAACATCGACGATCTGCACTGGGACGATGACGCGCAGACGTACTGCGATGCCACCATTGATGAATACGAGGAGAGCGTTCATGTGTGCCACAAGGGCTACATCTCGATCTTCCCCTTCTTGACCGGAATGCTGGGCACTGACAGCCCTCACTTGAAGGCCGTTTTGGATCTGATTGGCAACCCGGAAGAACTCTGGAGCGATTATGGCATCCGTAGTTTGAGCAAGAAGGATGAGTTCTATGGCACTGACGAGAATTATTGGAGAAGTCCCATCTGGGTCAACATCAATTACCTCGTGGTCAAGAACCTCTACGTAAGTCAATATCGCCCAATTGAATTGAAACATGAAGCTGATCGTTTTCGCGCAGGATGTTGCAATCAGACCCGGTCCCCACAGCGAGCAAGCCCGTGAGCTGTATTCCAATCTGCGGAAGAATTTGGTCGAGAATGTGTTCAGACAGTGGAAGGCAACTGGCTTTGCTTGGGAGCAGTACAACCCCGAGACCGGACAAGGGCAGCGGACACAGCACTTCACCGGCTGGACAAGTATGGTTGTGAAGATCATGTCCATGCCCGATCTGCCCGCCAGCGGAGCACAGGGCCACGATGAATTGTAGACGTAGATCGATGAGGATATCTTGATGTGATATACAATAAGATAGCAAGCTTTCCAAACAACTGTACAGTGTTACTTATTCCCAAACTCCTGACTCCTGGTATGCGAGTAGATTGCATGTTCAATGGCGGCGACGGTCAGAAAAATCCCTGTCTCTGGGGTCTGCGCGAAGACGATCGTCTCGACGTTTCCTGTGATCGTCGCGAGTCCTCTCTTTACTCCGCGAGCGCGAGCGCGATCGCCTTCTTCGATGATCGCGATCCCGCGATCTGGATCGCGACCTGTGTCGGTGAGTGCGGGGATGACGGTCATCCTCGCCACGATGTCTGCGGTGCCTACGCTCCCGGTCTCTGTCCCTGTTTCTGTCCCGGTCCGATGTTCGATCCCGCCGCCGCTCTCCGTCAGGACTGCGGCTATGGCCGCCTCTCCGTCTCCGACTGGAGCGCGGGTCAGCATCCCCTCGAGATGAACCGTAACCAAGTCCCTTTCCAGCCTCGTCACCCCCTTCCTTATCCGCAGCTTCTGACGGGCCACCGAGTGGGGTCAAGTTGGCATTCTCCGACGCCTTAGCGGGAATAGGTAGCCCCAAAGCTCGCGCCATCGCCTCTTCCTCAGCCTCTTTGACCCGTTGTTTCTCCTCGCGATCCCTCCTTGCTTGATCCTCATCGTCCGCGTCGCCTTTAGCATACCATGTCAAATCCTTGCCCTGTTGCCAGCGACCGACAGGGGCCATGAGAGAGTGCCCCAGGTAGTTTTCGCGATGCGAGGAGTCCTTGACATCGGACCATTTGAAGTCGCCGCGGCCGCCGCTAGAAGGATGGGGCTGTCAGTTACTGAGGTCTGCGGTCATGTTCGGACATGAGGCTCGGGGTTCAGAATGTGCCGAGGGTCGTGGAAGAGAACTCACCGGCTGCCTTCCTTGCGAACACCTGCGACCAAATCCATTCTGGCAGAATATTGGTTGCAGAAGGGGAGGTTGCGGCTGCACAGTACGGCGTAGGAGTACGTATGAGGGAGGGAGTTGCGGGCGAGGAAAAGCGGCGGGAGATCGCTCGGTGGCCCGTGCACGCGCTCAGCCCGAGGCGGCGGCGAATCATCGGATTGGGTTGGCTGACTTCATAATTAATGGACTGGACTGGTAACGTTCGAACTGCGAAAATGCGAAACTACTTTAGCTCAAGCGATGCACGTATCTTTCTAGTCTTTTCGAAGAGAAGCTCATTTTCTCAACTTCCTCTCGCGTCTTGCAGATCCCTCTCTCCCTCCGAGTATGCTCCAACCTCATTACACGGAGTCGCCAGAGCGCAAAGCATCTCTCCTCCGTGTGATGTCACTGGGGACTCGATCCAAATACCCCTCGGCTTCTTTTGCTATTGACAGTCTCTGTCCGCACTTATCACAATCAGCTTGCCCCGATCCCTGCAACCGCTCTCGACCTGCCACGCGAATGGTGGCACACCCGGAGACTCGCTTTGACGCTTACTTAGTGTCTGCTTTCAGCGGTCTCGAGTGTCACCACAACTTGTGTGTTTCCTCACCAGAATGGCGTTCAGTAGCGATGTCGGCAGCAAATCACTCAAGCCCCGTTCACGCGAAGGTCTGCAGCTGAGACCCCTGAATGTTGAGAAAGGAACAGATAGAGTATGTGGTCATTCCTAGTCTCCTACCTAGCGTAATCTTTTTTTATTTCTCTCGTTCGGTTGTTGTCGATCTGAATGCTGACCTACTTTCCAGTTTTCTTCGTGAGTATTTGACTTCCAGATCTCATCATTATGGTATGCCCGAGCCGAGACTGAACTGGTTTGCAGTGCAAATGATATTTATCCTCCACAAACAGCGACATGGAGAAACAATCTGGTAAATCAACAATCCTATCCCATCGTCTACCTTGGTCACTAACACTCGTGGAAAGATTGCGCTGTCGCAGCGTCGCAATCTGCTCTTCGTCGCCTACAACCATCAAATCTATGTCTGGCAACCTGCAGGGTCTTATCAGACGCTAGGCAACAAGCCTGAGATGATTATCACCCCAGTCATGCGAGAGCCCAATGCTGAGGGCTATATCCTACCGTCATCTCCTCATGCAATCAACAACATTCTCGTCGACGACTTGGGCCGTGAGGAGGTGTTGCTACTTGTCACTGACTCGGGCAACGTCTGCGGTTATCGGGTTGAGGCTGTGTACTCGGCGCTGAAGCGAGCAGAGGAGGGTAACGAGAGTCGGCCCCTCGATGGTTCACAGGTTGACCCGTTCTTCGCCGAATATGTTGAAGCCAGTGCCTGGGGCTTGGCCATTCATAAGTTCGCCCGTCTGATCGCCGTGACCGCGAACACAGGCCAGGTCACGGTTTTCGCCTTCGCCCTGGTCGACTCTACCTCTGATAAGAGCAGCGAGTCTGATTGCGACCCGGAGGAAGAGGATGATCTTGCCGACTACGGTCAAACCTGGCTGCAAGTCAAAAGCGGGGAGCAGCTGGCCCAGCTACGGCACTTGATGCCGCACAAACACCGAACGCGGAATATCAGGTTGACATACACAGGCCATTTCGCCAATATCCCATCAGTTGGCTTTTTGAACTGTGATCTCGATCCCAATGGGATGTGGATGGTCAGCACGGATATTGACAACAAGCTTCTCGTCTGGAAAATCTGGGAAAGTCTCGGGCCCTTTAATGTCTACCACTTTAACGACGTCTCGTTTAAGTCATTCCCGGAATCATTGCATCTGGAGTAGGTAAATGATCTACATGCTGCATTAGGGCTCTCTGACTAATGGGTGAAACAGAGAGCGTGGCTGGGCGGTACTCGCTTTGGACCCTCGGAGCTTTCATTTGCTGAAGTCTCCGGAAGAAGCATGCGGCGGGCCCCCTCAACGGCGCGTCAAAAATGGCCAAGCAGTATACGACTTGACAAGAATGAACAGCAAGATCCCAAAGGCTTCTCAGATATACAATTATTTTCCGCCTGCGCCTAAGATTGAACCGAAACAGCCGCTGCTGCCCGATATTTTCGGACCAGACTGTCGTATCAACAGATCTGCTGATGCCTATCACTGTCTCATCACAAATAGCTCACAAGGGACCCCCCGTTGGAATCAAAGCGAAGACTCGATCGCAGAGCTCCGACGACTGAATGTCCCGTCTGCAGCCATTCGACCTTCAGACTCGGCTGATGCGTCCAGCTACCGCGCCGTAGACGGCTCTGTCTTTGAGGACAATCTAAGCCAGGACGGCATATCTGACACGGAGCTGAGTACGGGACCTCTTGACACCCAGGGTCAACAGAATGACGGCACGCCTTTCCCTGCCGGTCAAGCCCCGTTGACGACGCCGGAGTTCCTCCAATTCGCGCTTCTCGAAGCACTTGGCGGTGATGCTCCTGGAGCCGAGTATAGTGATGATGACATGGAAGACTACTCCGAATCCGAAGATGACTGGCACGGCGAGCGGGATTACACTGGACTGGACGATGCCGAGTCAGACGAAGCGTCTGCGATGGCAGCCCGATACCAAGTCTTTGACCGTGCGTCTGGCCCTGCTCTAGTCCCCGACCCACATGCAGTCGCTAACACTTCCGCAGCGCCCATGAGCTCCAATTTTCCAATCCTCCATTTTTCTCAAACCGACATTCGCCTAATCCCTCACCCCTTTGCCACGCACGCTAAGGTCGTGTGCGGCGAACCTCTACGGCAACCCTTCACACACCCCATTGTCTCCATTCGGTCCTGCGATCGCTTTAACATGGTCAAGTATATTCCCGAGCACGGAATCGTCGTCGCAGCGTCTCAAAAGGGGCGTGCGGCCATCATAGCCCTCACTGAGTCCGAGGCGACAGGACAATCCTTCCGCGTCGACTGGATTGTCCCCTTCGAGCATCAAGAGAAATATGGCGACCGTCCTCTGATCCCCCTCTTGGGTATGACCGTAGGTCCGGTGCAGGGGTTCGAGATGCCTCCCGACGTGCCTTATATTCCACGTGACGTAAGGAACAACGACCTCACGTTTCGATATAAGCATTCGAACCTCAGCATGAGCCCTCATGAGCAGCCGGATCCTGCTTTGGTCACGGAGAGACGAGCGAGTAGCATATCACAACCCCCGAGACAAACTTCCACCCTCCGCCCGAGACCTTCTCACCAGCGCCAACTCCGAAGAAAATGGTCTGCTGTTCACGGGCACGATTCACATCCGTCTACCGCGTTCGCCCCCACCGCATACGAAGATCCCACGTCAACTTCGAGTTCCACAATACCCCAGGCCTCAACCTCATCTACCTCCCCCACTACTACTCAACGACCAGCCAGATCATCGTCCAGCAACCCCTTTACCCTTCCCGAATGCCACGCCCTTGCTACCCGCGCCTACTACCCCGAAGAAAGCTGGCGCGGATGGAACCCCTCTCGACGGTATCGGTTAATGCTCATGTACGCCGATCACACACTGATGAGCTACGAGTTCTGGTACAGCTGGAATACGACAGGAGGAAACAGCGGGACGGGGGAGGATGAAGTGGACGAGGTGTTGTTTGTCTAGGTTTAGCTTTCCGCAGTATATTATTTCAATCTGTCTAAATATCGAAAGAATGAACAAGATGAAACGAAATGATTTTACGCCCGGACCCTGCAATGCTTCAATACCAACTAAATCTTGGCGAGACCTTAGGCAGGGGTCTCCTTTACCGATCTCCCAGAGCTCATAGAATATTTTGCGACGGGTGGAGGGTCGGGGAAGAGACCTTGGGCGCAGGTGGCGCTGGAATCGGAAGCGGAGGCTCCCTTGAAACCAAGAGAGGAGGGCAGTCGAGGCTCAGTCCCACGAAGCAGTCAAGAACCCGGAACACCGTCAGTCACTAAGGTAGTACCTAGCACTACTTACCTAGTAAGCCTCCATCAGACCCCTAAACCGCCCAACAATCCCCTCATACGCCCCCCGACTCTCCGAGCCCTCCTCCATCCAATCCCCCGGCCGCACCGCAGGATCGACCCACAATCCCAGCAGCGCCCTGCACCGATCAAGCAAGGCCAGCCGTCCCGGCACTCCGGGCGAGACCATCAAATCGGCGTAAATATTGAAGACCGCCGCCGTGCGCGCGTCCAAGGGGCGCCGCAGCAGCAGCAGCATCGTCCGCTCGCGCACGTCCTGGTACCGTGGAACCGGCGACACCATCATCTGGCGCGGTGGGGGTCCTCGATGCGTTTATGCGTGATGAGCCAGAGGTCGAGTTCGATGCTTCCGCCGTAGCCTGCTTCGTTACGAGCGTGGCGGGCGTCCTCGGCGAGACCGTCCAGGACTTGGATTCGTTTTAGTAGTGGCTGGAGCGGTTTCTCTAGGGGTTGGAGGTGATCCATGTGGTGGGCCAGGGTTGCTCCGATGTGCTGGAGGGCTTGGCTTTGGTGGTGCAGGGCTTGTTCGAGGGCTTGGATTTGCTGGGTTTGCTGCGTGAGGGTTCGCTTTATCGCGCGGATGTCGGGGCGCTGCATGGCTTCGGCGGGGTTGGGGTTGGGGTGGGGATTGTGGTTGTGGGGTCTTTGACGGGCTGGGTGTCGTGCTCTCTGTCTTCGGGCGAGTGGATTGTTGCGTGGGACACGGTTGTATGGCCAGCTCTGTGGCTGGAATCGTTGCAGTTCGTCAAGCTGGGTTGCTTGTCTACGGAGATGGTGGTGGACTTACCTCGCTGGAACGGTTGTTCATCGTGGAGATGATAATGCTGGGCCCCAGATAACCTGATCAAGTTCCGTTGCGGGATAGCTGAGGGGATAGCAGGTGGTATCGAGGAGGCCGGGCGGGCTGATGTCTGACGAAGGTGAAAGCAGAAGAGCAGAAGGGGGTGTGTGAAGATGGGAAAGGAAGAGATGGAGGTAGACATCGTTGGGTGAAGAGATTTGTATAAGGTGTGATTTATCTGGAGAAAGAAAGTAGGTAGCCTGCGAGGCGTCTAGTGAATAAAGCTCCCCTCTAGCCTTAGGATCATACTGGATAGTGTATGACATGTTGCCATCATTTGAGAAAGGCCTTTTGTTATAGCTCCCTTGATGTTACTTGGATAGTGCATGCTGCGAGGGTAAAGCTCTGTTGACTGACGAAGAAGACCATGTTTCGATCTGATAATGTTTAAGTAGCGGATACTAATGAGACTTGTATTGTGCACGCTCGTCTCTAGCCTACGGCAGTTCTGATGCTGTGATCAATAATGTGTCTTGGGTTTGTTGTATTTGAAAGAGGCTCCTTTTTGAACTAGAATAACTATACATTGAAGACAACAGCACAAACCTCCCGACCCTTATTTTGCACCTTGTGCTAATGTGGGTTTTACACATCAGGAACTCGGAGTTCTCGGGTGAATACTAGTCTGTCGAACTAGTGCTGTTTATTTTTTATTTTATTTTTAATCTTTTTTGGATGCTAAAAGTACTGGACATATTATAATTGCGAAGTGAGTAGATGCTGTGCCCTAGTGTAGGATAGGGTTCGGGCTACCTGCCGATGAGCAAACAGCTGTGGTGACTGCTGTGGCTTAAACAGTTTGGTCTAACCGCATGCCTTGGTGGTTTACTGTATAACCACAACCGATCTAAAGTAATGGGGGAATTTCTCCAATTCAGGCACTTATCTAGTACCTAGAGCAGATGATGGAACTTCCAACTATATAGTGCGTATATGCTCTATAGTTTGGTACTGTGCTTGAATAAGTTGGAGTGTAGTAAATTAAAATTGCTTCATCTCAGTCAGTTATAACTCTGTGCGGAGGTAGAGATTGGATGTTCAAACATCTCAAGAAGCGATGTCGTGAAGGCGGTGACTGTTCATTTTTGAGGACCTTGCGGGTGAGGACCCATCTGCTGAGGACCTTGTGGGCAAAACTCCCCAAATTGAACCAATGGATGTAGGTTTATTGGCTCCGCAGCCCTATGAGGCTTAGAATGTTGTGGAGGGTGCTTATTTAACTCTATCTGAACCTCTATTTATGTTTGTATAGACATGGTGTACAGTACCTTCACGTCGCGCAAATGGTGATATATACCTAGTATTGAACTTGTTTTCCTGCCGAACTGTCAAGTCTTGGCCCAGCGTCACGGAGAAATGTTTGCCCTTCGTCCCTGATAGACTTATATAAGCCGCACCCGTCACAATATTTGGGACGAGAAGGCGAATTTAGCAAGAACCGGCTGTAGTGCTAGATTTATCACTTGTGATACAATGGCCGCAGGCACCAGAAGCAAGAACCAAGACATATGTTCTCGCCTTCTGTTATTCCATGTCAGAGAAAGGAAGGACAAGAAAATATCCGAGTCCGATGAATTGTGTGGTCGTGATATCCAAGTCAAATGATGTAGAAGAGGGGCCGGCGCCCGCTACTTACCAACTTTCCACCAGATTCCGCCAATTACTGACCAGTGCTCACAACAGCCCCGGATTTATGCCCTCGCCACTCAGAAGCTTCCAGATACGAGGAGCGAGTCCACGCTAGTCAAGCTAAAGAGATGTGAGATTGTGCAGCCTGACTCCTTTCTGAAGCACACCCCCTCTCTACTTGACTAATATATGAAAACTCGAAGTCAGCCATGGCGTTGCACTTGACTCAGTCCCAGCGTTTGCAGCTGGTGATACTGATTTCCCTGTCTTTCTTCATCGCGGAAATCTCCGGTAGCGAATGCAGCACAACCCCCAATTGGCGACCATATCCTGACTGTTGATTATCTAGTGGGCTTCTACACACGCTCTCTTGCCCTCGTCGCAGATGCATTCCACTATGTGCTAACCCTCGCCCCCTCTTTGATCCTTACGGTACGCTGGGAGGCTAATACTAGTATACCTTCTAGTTGAATGATTTGATCGGATTCATTGTTGCACTCACTGCTCTGAAGGTGACAGGCATTGTCCACGAACCTCCGAGTACCTTGTCTCTAATAGTACCATAAAACCCAGATCTCAGCCAAGACAGATTCGCCCCAGGACCTATCCTTTGGTTGGCAGCGGTCTCGGCTCCTGGGTGCGTTCTTCAACGGTGTTTTCCTTCTCGCACTCGGGATCAGTATCTTCCTCCAATCCATCGAGCGGTTCGTCTCCATTCAGGGTGAGCGCACATATCCCTATGCTGGCAGTCCACAATCCTACTGACACCAAACGCAGTCGTGGAACAACCCAAGCTGGTGCTTATCATCGGCTGTGTGGGACTCGCCCTCAATCTCATTAGTGCCTCGTTCCTTCACGGTTCGTGACGGCTCTTCTGACCATGATGATCACTCCCTAACACATACCTCTACTTTATCTTTCTTCCAGAACACGATCATTCACACGGCGAAGTCCTAGGAGGAACGGAACTCCAAACAAATGCAGAAAGTGGCACAGCGCAGGTTAGAAATACAACCCATTTGAATAACTCGGTGAATGCATTGCTTAGGCTTCTACCGCCCAGGTTTTCGCTCTCCACAACAACCATCGTCACAACAATATCCGACCATCTACAAAGGGCTACGACCTTGGCATGCTCGGGGTCCTGGTTCATGTGCTGGGTGACGCCGCCAACAATGTTGGGGTCATCATCTCGGCGTTGGTGATCTGGCTTACCACGGCCCCCGCTCGCTACTACGCCGACCCTGCTGTTAGCATGGCTATCGCCATCGTCATCCTCACAACGTCCATACCGTTAGGTTCATATCTCTTATACCCCACCACCCAAGAAACCCAATGTTTCGATCCAACTTACCAATCGCTGTGGCCTGATTAGTGCGCAGCTCGGGCAAAATCCTCCTTGAAAGTGTTCCCAGCGGGATCAACCTGGACGACATCAGACATGATCTTGAAACGGTGCGTACCATTCAGTTTACCTGGTTTCCCATCATCTCTTGATGGCTGACCGTCCGGACGTAGATCCCAGGTGTCCTCTCTGTCCACGAACTACACGTCTGGCGGCTGAACCAAGAGAAGGCCTTGGCATCGGTCCATGTCGCGATTGCGAAGGAGACCGTGTCCGAGTTCGTCCAGATCGCCCAGACCATGAGCGATTGCTTCCACAGCTATGGGATCCACTCGGTGACCGTGCAGCCCGAGCTGGGGTCGACGACCCCCGTGCCTGCCACGCCGATGGGGACGGCTGGCTATCGGGGCGATGGGCCCCAGCTGTGCCAGGTCAAGTGTGGGACTGCGTCCTGTGAATTGCTGACGTGCTGTGGCTAGGTCGGAGGGCTTTTCCTCGTACCATGCACCGAGTTGAACTAGTGTTTGCTGGAGGGTAAGCCCCCACTAAATAAAAGAAGAGTCTGTGAGCACGGCTTGATCGCTGGCGCATGGATTCATGGCCGTCTTCGATTCGTTTTCGTTGAACTTGCACTTCCTTTTTTCGACCAAGCTAGTTACTGTTTCTCCTCTCCTTGTATAAATCAATCAATCTAACCGATACAGTCCCTACCTTTCTGCCTTTCTGCCTTTCTGCCTGTCTGCTTCTCTGCATCAGACAATAAAAGTCTCCGACCGAGATCCTATGGATCGGATCCTCGCAGCGTTCAGCTCTTCCGGTTGCTGCCGTGGGGCAAGGCATGCGAGAAAGGCCCGCGGTTAGCCAGTGCTCCCCAACTTCAATCGCAGAAAAGAAGGAAGAAGAGGAAGAGAAAAGAAACAAAAAGAAAAGAGCTCTATTCACCCGTCAGTGCATCCTCGGGCAAGTTCAGATTACCTTTATTCGGATATATTGTGACATCAGTAGGGTAGGAACTCTCGCACACTCCAGCTATATTAACCTTCCGAGAGCAAATCATCGTGAAGCCGGTCTCTTTTTATTTCTCATAGTCAGTGGCTTGGAATTTTGTGTCGCTATTTAGAAGAAAGATATGCAGAGGATACACTTAGTATTGACAAGGTGGCGGAGAAAGAAATAAATGCCCTTCAACCGTGGTTGGATTGGAGGTTGGGCAGAGATTTTGCCTCACGGCACGTATAGTACAGGATCCTCATAGAGGACTTGTTGGTGCCAGTGAATAGAACTTTTGAGAGGATGGGAACAAAGATAAGGCGCCGAAAAAAAATAAATCGAGAGAAAACAAGAAAGAAGGGTAAGAAGGAGAAATTTAAGGAATCAAGAAAAGAAAGATAAAACTCCCCCGCTCGGAACAAGGCCCTAAATCCACGCCCCCCCTTTCCCCATTTTTCATTAATCCCAAATGGATTCTCCCGTCCTCAATTGCCAAATGCATCCTCAATGGCCTCGAGACACAACAAGGCTCGGACCTCTGCTTCCAATTCATGCATCCTTGATGCTCGCTCTTCGGGTGAGAGATCGGCGAGAGGCGAATCGACTAGCTTGTGAAGGGTGGCTGCCGCCTTGGCTGGGAACAGGGCTGTGATGAGATCACGAAGGGTAAACGCATTTCCCATCCGATCTCGAAGCGGCTTCAGTGCGCGAGCCCTGGGAAGATCATCCAGAAAGTACACCAGTTCGATCTTCTTCTTCTTCTTTCCGACTGTTAATGTCAAGGAACTCAAAAAGACATTGCCGCCTTCCCAGGGATAACCTTTAATCAGACTATCGGAGGGACCATCCGGGGGATCATCAGGAAAATCGCCAAGAGGACCATGAAAGGGACCAACCGGGTGATCATCAGGAAAACCACCAAAAGGACCATCGGAGGGACCATCCGGGGGCCCACCGAGGCGATCATCAAGAAGACTACCGGAGAGGCTATCATCAACAGGAACATGAGGGTCGTGACAGCCAACCGTGTCCGTGATGAGGCCGAGACCAGATTGCGCGGCCTCCAGCGCATTAGCCCGCTTGTAGGCCTGGTCGTCGAGTTGGACCTCCAACTCCACCTGGGGGTCCCCGTCATGCCACGCGGAGTTCATGCTGAGAGCTTCGACGACGAAGAATTCCCAGTGCCACTGGTCCCGGGCCATCCCCGCAATCACTTCATCGCGGCTTTGCTGGTCCAGCGACAGACCGTGTCGCCAATAAATTTTTAAGAGCTCGATGAATCCAGCGGCCGCGCGGGGGAGCTGCCTCTGGGCCGACCCGATGGCGTTGAGGGTGAGCGCTCTGAAAGGCACGATTCGGGTCAGCCAGCTCGCGTAATCTTCTCCGGCTGGTAGAAGAGGAAGGAGATCGCCTCCGCGCCAGGGGATCTCAATGCATGCGGACAGGGCTGGGAACAGGAAAGGAAACATCAGACGGATCGGGCTGCGAGAATCATGGTCTGAGGTCCAGCGAGTATTATTCTCATTGCTGAGCAGCAGCGGAGGAGCCCGCGTCTTGCCGAACAGCTCACATTCCAGCCACAGATTGAGATTGTACTCCTCGGGCTGGGCGGTGCCGAGAATGCGAGACAAGGAGGCCAGAAACCAAAAGAATCGTTCGGGTCGCTGCGGAGGGACTTGCTGCCTCACGAACATGCTCATCAGCTCCAGGATGTCGATAAGATCGAGTTGAGAGTTGAGGCTGGACTTCCTTGGGGCCGGGTCTATCGTGTAATATCCCTCCAAATAGAAAACACGCAGATCCGCCCGCGGAAGATCTTCCTGGCTGAAGGGCGTCGCTGTGGTACAGAGATCAGCCAGCATCGTCTGACACAAGGTATCGAACGCATCGTGCCCCTTGGGGAAGACAGCACATGAGGTCACGAGGTCCGCGTTCTGGGAAAGGTACTCGAAGGCGGGCCGGTGGGTGAACCGGGGTGTAGATGATGCCGTAGTTGGTGATTTTTGTCAGTCGATCATGCACCACAGCGAGGATGTCTGGAAAGGTGACATCCTGGAGACGCAACGTGGCGGATGGTCCCAGTGTTTCGTGAATATCCTGGTCCTCCCGGCTCGAGACGCAGATGTTCACGCCGTGAGGCCTGAGCTGCGCCCACTCGTTTAGGAGCAGGCACAGATCTTTCTGGCAACCCATGAACTCGTCAATACCGTCAATGAAGATGACCAGGCGGTGGTTGATGTAGATTTTGTCATGGGTATGTAGCGTAGTGAGGGCGCATTGCGCCTGGGAGAGATTGAGCTTTTGATCTGGAGTTCGGAGATTGTTCTCCCACTCCTGCGGAAAGATGATTGATATCAGCTCATAGGCCTGACCGACAAGCGAATGCAACAGCCCTCTGCAGAAGTCGCGCATGGCCCTTTCAGACTGCGCGTTGGGCTTGAAGATGAAGGATTTCCCAAGAGCACAGTCTGTGGGCTGGACCAGGCCTGCAGACGCCCGTGCACGTTGCCCGATAAAAACTTCATGAGAGTCGATTTCCCAGCGCCGGGCTTCCCAGTCATATGGAAGATCCCCTGAACCTCCCTGAGCCAGGTCAGAGAGGCCTCGCGCGCTTGATACTGGAGGGGGCTGTCATCCAGGGGCATATCGGCATCGATGAGCCACCGGAAGCTGTCCGCTTCAGCGTCTGCCAAACTTTCATACCGGTCATGCATGCCGTCGAAGGCCAATCGATTCAAAATCGAGGATGCCCGCGCGTGGGCACCATTGCGGTCCATCCGCATCCCGATGGCTTGCACCCCCTGCCGGATCCGATCGCCTATCCCAAGTAGGAGACCCAGATCGTGGATGTGGCGAGCCATTTCGGAGCCGAGTGTGGAAACCTCCTTGGTGAGAGATTCTAGTCTGGCCGCATAAAGCTCGTCGCCCCGCTTGATATCACTTAGACCTTGTAGAATTCTCGTGCTAGAAACTCGCAAAGAGGGGCAATTTAGCATTGTTACAAGTGTGCAGTACTACCAGAAGCTGCTCCCAAGGGGTTCCGTTCTTTCCTCTGACCTCTTTGTTGTAGTGACAAACGATGCAAGCCGCCCTCCGCACTGGTTGAGCCTAGCTTCGAGCTTGCCTTTGGCGCGGCTCTTCCACGCGTTCTTGCAAAAAATCTTGTCTCTGCCTCCTGCCTCTTGTAGCTCATCTAGCATGGATTGGAGTTCATTCGAAGCGGCATTGCACTCGCTGCAGAGGTCGTGCAGGAATCGTTCTTCGTCCGTGAGCGGGTCAGCATCGGTCACTGCTCGCTCCTGCAGGCACTTAACCATCCCCGTCAGGACGTAAATCTCCTTCTGAAGTCTCTCGTTTTCCGATACCTTGCCGGTCTCGTATATCTCCATGGCTAGCTTGATCAACTTGATTAGGAACAATAAGAAACTGAGAGTGATGTTGAGTACGCTGAGGAGGGATAGACCATCCATTGTAACAGAGCGGATATGGATCAAGTGTTTGCTAACGAGGGAGGACAAAAGAGTATCGTGATCAGTGAGGCATATGCAATAGCAGAGTGAAATTATTGATATCATGTTGTCCGGGACGGAGGGGAGGCCAATAATAGCTTCTCCCTAAGACTGCAGAAAGGGGGTTACCCTCCAGCTCTCTTCGTGTGTGTGTGTGTGTGTGTGTGTGGAGCGAAAGACCTTCACAATCTATAGAATTGGTCAGGATTTGGAAAATGAGACATACCTCGTATGAGAGCTAGAAAAAAAAAAAGAGAGCATGTCTTGGTGATGACCGCACATCGTAGGGGACTTTGGGCTATAGAGTTCGGCCTGGCATTTCTTATGAGATGCACCTCCCCTTGTTTCCCCCCTTTTAGCGATTTAAGTAAGTAAGTAGCTCCAGCTCTTTGAGGTTTTACTTCCCCAGAATGTGGGCTGTGGTAACGCAGAGATGATATAGGTTACCCGCAGCCTTGTCGGCCAAGGATGAAATGGCTAGGGGCGGTGTCGGTACTGGGCCCAGACGCGCGCATAGGCTTTCCTCAGAAGGCAGCGGCTGGGAGCCACGAAGTCGAAGGAGGGTGCAAACCGCTGCCAGATATCAAGGAGGTCGCCAGAGGACCGGTAGTGGTAGTCCACAGGTGAGGACCCTCCTTCCCCGGTTACAGTGGCGGGGATGCCGTCCTTCTCATCTTTTCCAACATCATCTTCCTCCCAGAGCTGTGTGTACAATGGAAGAGGGTACTCCTCCTTTCCTGCGGTGGCAATCTCGTGGACGTACAGAGCGGCGTGGTAGGCCATGAACAGCTCGTCCGTGTGCGGGCCTCGGCCGAAGACCTCCGCCCACGATTCTCGAGACAGAAGGGGGGATGATGGTCGGTACTGAGACGTAAAATGGCCGAGTGTGCGCTGCAACCCAGCTTGAAGATGGTCCCAGTTGTTGGTCAGAAACGACACCAACTCTGATGGAACGGGTTGTGTGAAGCGTTCCTCGGCGGCGGGAGAAACGTCGCGGGAACCCCCCGAGGCGGTGGCGTTCTCTACCTGAACCATGAGAATGGTGGAATGCTCGCTGTCAGTTTCCTTCAAGTGGCGCATGAGACGAGCAAACGCTCGCCTATCGCAAGCCGATACATCCAGGCCACCGCCGCGCCTGCGCCAATGAGCTCGTAGAAAGCGCTTGGTGTCTGCCTTTACCCATGGTGGCGCACATGCTAAGAAACCTTTCCACAATTCGTATCATAAACTTGCAAACAATAATGTGGAAAGTATATCTCATGGGGAGGAGGATAAGGGGAGGGCGAGGGGCGCTTACCATCCTGGAATGAGCCACACCAGAGCAGTACAAGATGCCAACCGTGCTTGCGAGCTCCCAAAATGACCTTGTCAAGTTTTTCGAAAAAGAAAAGTGGCCTTCGAATGGCTCGATGTCGCCCCAGGCCACACGTCCTAGCAGCGTGTTGACATGAGCGTCGACAAGCTTTTGCCACGCCGTGTACGTGTATTCAGGCGAGGTGAATGAAGAAGACTGAAGCTCTCCAGGCAAGACCAGAAATGGTCGGCCATGGACCACCAGCTGCTTGCCATTCTCAATCGGACGAAGATGGGGGTTCTTGAACCAGCAGGAGGCACCACCGCGTTGACCTGATCGTCAACGAGCCTCTGCCACACTGTATCCATGTCTCCTGGCCACGTTTGAGGCGGGATCCCTGCAAACAAGTTCGAGGGGGTAAGGATGCCATCAAATCCGTGCCAACTGCCACGGGCCGGGGCTAGGAAATCCTTGTGTCAGATGAAGGTGACATGGTTGCGGATCGATAGTTGAAGAAATGGCAGCTCAACAAGCAACAAAAGTTTCTGAGCTAATGGGAGAGAGAGATGGTAGTTGGTCGTCTACTACCAGGCGGGTTGCTTTATGTATTGAACCCCAACCCTCTCTGTCTTGTCGCAGCCTGAGTCCACCCCCTACTTCACACCAACCTCCTTTTGGAGTGGCTGCAACGATAGGCATCACCACCGGTTCTGACTACATCTGATTGGCACCAGGAGCATTCGTTATTATTATTATTAATGTCCCATCCATTAAGGGTGAGGCGAGACCACCCCGAGTGAAGAATTGCACTGCCCCCCCTGGTGCCGAGTAGAAAGCCTGTTGCACTTGGCCGTGTGCATAGAACATGAAAAACAGGACTCCCGGCAGTCGTACTATCTGGAAGAAAAACACGTTGAATAGATTGATTAATTGCATTTGAAGATCGCTGTGCAAGCACGATATGGATGCAGGTCATCAGAATCATGCAACGATGCCGCAGAAACAAAGAGAGACATGAGATATTTTATGAGCTCATAACGCGTACAAGTATAGCATGACGTGGCGTATGATGGGATAGGGGCCATATGGAGAAAGAGAAAAGAAATAAAAGAACCTAGAAATCATCATCGAGTTCATCACTGTCCCATTCGTCTTCCCGGTCATTCTGAACCAGTTCTAGAAATCGTTGCAGGCCAGGCCGCGCATGTCGTTCCGGTTGGCCTTCTCTAGCCGCGTCGGCCTCCGGACGACGCCGGACTTCTGCCATGGCTCGTGCCTGCGCTTGTCTCTCGGCCGCTGCAGCCCGAGCTGCAGCATCTTCATTGCCGCCTTCGCCATGAGCCCCGGCGCCATGGCCAGGGTTGACTCTTGGGGGTACCGGAGCCGGGGGAGGAGGATGTTGACCCAGTTCCATGGCAACCAGATCCTCGTCATCACTATCGTCGTCAACCTCTATGAGTTGCGCAGGGACTTGATGCAAGGCTTCAGCCCCGTCAGGGTCAATGCCGTCACCGCCTTCCAGATCCCAAAGCCTTTGGTAGCACTGACTCTCTGGATCGTTGAAATGCCGGTAAGGATTTTCCTCGAACAGCCAACAAGAGCAGAGGTAGCAGAAGTGTGTGTCGCATTTGAAGCATATCATATGGTTGCAGCCCATCTTCTTCTGGCAGGGCGCATTGCATGTCGGACAAGCGGATGTATACCGCCGCAGATAGTCTTCGGTCGCCTTTTCTTCGGCGGTCAGCTCGGCTGCACGCCGAGGGAAGCAACGGACCAGTTCCCCATGCCAGCCTTTTTTGCAAACGCAACAGAATGCGTAGTTGCAATCCTCGCAGATCGCCACCCGTTCAGCCATGGGGGGCAACTGAGCCTCGTCACCGAGGGGATCAAAGACAGGGGTCGCCTCCTCATCATCGTCAAACACGTCGAGGTCGTCAGACATCGGGTCCATGGGTTTGGGGTGCTTTTTTGAGCGAGCGGCACCTTGGCACCATTCACGAGGACAGTACACTGTCGACTTATCCGCCTCAAGCCTTTTCTTGCGCTTAAGAGATACAAAGCGCTGCACAGTCTCCTGCTCCAGGGGAATCTGTAGCAACTCGCTGGGGCTGAGCGTTCGGTCGATCTTCTTTCGCTTCTTTGGTGCGTCGCCTGCGGAGGCTGTGAGAGCCGTTTCCTTGCCACAATTAGGAGCTAAACACTTCACATTCTCAATATCGCCTTCAGTGATACAGGCATTGTAGAAGTCCTGCAGACAGGCAACGCAGAAAACGTGCGAGCATCGCAAAAGGCGGTGACAGTTTATGCCTTTCTTTGGTTCCAGGCAGACACCACATTCAAAGGTCTCTTGTTCGAACATTTCCTGTTCAGCTTTACTGTTGAAATCCAACAAAGCTATTTTCAAGTCCCGAGAAAGCAGCATCTCACCGTCGGGGCTTTCACTAGAGTCAAAGCCCGTGTCACATAACTGCTGAAGATGGTCGATGTATGTGTAAACCACCAGGTCCTTGCCGCACTCCTCCCAAAGACGCTTGCCATCATTTATGAGTTCGGACAATGTCGAGGAAGGTAACCAGGCAGGGTTTGTTCCGAGATTGAAGAAAGGCGCTTGCTCAGCTGGATAGCCTTCGGGCAGCTCGATCTCGAGGCAAAGAGGAGGAAAGTGCGATATGATATGGACATCATTGTCGGCCTCGGCTGGAGCAGTGGGCTCCTCGGCCTTGAACGGGAAACCGTTTTCGCTGGCGTCGACGGACGTGGGAGGGGTCAGGATAGCAGGAAAAATGTTCTCGGGGAGCTGCTGTTGCTGCTGAAAGCGCACGCGTACGGGTCTAGATGGTTTGACGGGTATGTCTAGCGAGGCTTTATACGGCGAGACAGGGTCGATTATTATTTCCGGGAAAATAGCAGCGATAGACGACAGCTCGACCGAGCGGTCATCTTCCATAACCGACTCAGATTCTGGCATTGTGGATCCGGGCGTTCTCTTCGCAGGTCTAGCCCAAATCCGTGGAAGGCTATCGTTCGCAGGTTGTTTTGTATTCGGGACGGCGAGATGATGGGTGGCAATTGAGGCCCATCAACGTGATGGAAATGCGCAATGTCTGATTCGAAGTCCCTAAGTCTAATAGCGCCCACCTTCGATGACAGGCATTTCCTTCATAGACATCTGAATGGCAAGTGGTGAGCGATGAGGCGACAGAAGAGGGCAGAGTTCTGCTGCTAAAACACGGATTAGTCAATCAGACAATGCGATTATCGAGGGTGGCGGCGGATGTCGGACCTCTCAGGTACTGCAGGCGTGTGTGCGGCCTAAACAATTAGTATTATGGGGGCGGTGGAACCGTCGGGGAATCAAAAGAGTTAGAAGCGGATAGAGAATGAATGGAACGAAGAGAGTTTTGTATTATTCGCAGTCTAGAGAGTATGTAGAAAGAAGAATCGGAGTGAGGTTGTGATGAGAAGTGCGTCATGGTTCGGCCCGAGATAAGAGAGGATAAGAGAGGATAGGATAGGATAGGATAACACAGTGAGTGAGTAGGGAAGAGCAATGGTACAGCAATAGCGTAGAGGCAAGGCAGGCGAGCTAGAACACGCGAAGGAAACGGGAGTGGGAACCAGAACAGTTATAAAGAGAGTCAGGCATAGAGACCTGAGCTGGGTTTTGCTGCCCAGTCTTGCGGCAGTTTGAATTAGCTGAGTTGGTAGTTGGAAGTTACTGAAAGAAACTGAACCTGACTCAGAGGTCAATGATAAGTTAGCAGATTCGCTCACTTCCCACCCGGCCTGAGGCGACAAGGCCAAAAGAATTCAATTTCCCCTGCCTGCCCCTCCTTTTCCCCCGCCGCTTTAACAAAAGCCCCGTGACTTGGCTCCCCCTTGCGGACCCACTCCGCCTCCGTTCCAGTTACCAGTTCTCTTCTTCTTCTTCTTCCCCTCAATTGATTGAAAATTACTCCGTATGAACATCAGCTTGAAGGGGAAGCTTCAAACTATTCGTGTAAACACCTACCAGCAGTCTGTCCTAAAGAACATTGACTTTAACACCTGCACGATATGATGTTGTGTGAATAGTCATCGCTTGGTCTGTCACTCCACCGGACAGTCGCTGCTGGTCCATTGCTATCATTCCATTCATCTTTAAGAAGCATACCTTGTCCTGGCTTGAATCGGGGGACGGTTGCAAAGGAGATTTCCCAAATATCAGTTCCCGGCAGCACAACAGGCCGACAACTACAACACAATGGCGGACGCTCCCCTAGCATCCTTATCACTGACCCATGTCCATTATGTACGTTCCCACATTTAGTGTTCGGGGCGACTAGCGCTCGAATAACTGACGATGCATTGCTTCACGCTAACAAAGGCAGAATCCCGAGGATCTGCTCTCCTATGTATCCGCGTATCTTGCTTTAGTGCCTCAGGCCCTAGTCATCTCCTATGTCACCCTTGCCTGGGCGTCCAGGGAAGTCGAAGTCATCCTGATGTTTGCTGGTCAGATGGGCTGTGAGGCCCTGAACTTCGTTCTAAAGCGCATCATCAAAGAGGAGAGGCCGAAACGTAAGTCGACTTATCCATGGAAGGAAGAAGAAGAAATTGAAATATCTGGTCCAGACTAACGCCTGCCACAGAAATGTTTGGCAAGGGTTATGGCATGCCATCGTCGCATGCCCAGTTTATGGCTTTTTTTGCCGTGTACGCTGGACTCTTCTTGGTTTTCCGACATTCCCCTGCCTTGGCACGCCCAGCAGCCACGGTTCACTTTGGGGTCCGAGCACTCCTCTCTCTTGTGCTGTGCGTCGCTGCTGCTGCAGTGGCTGTCAGTCGCGTTTACCTGAACTATCACACCCCCAAGCAGGTCCTGGCGGGCTGTAGTGCGGGTGTCTCATGTGCCCTCGCGTGGTATTTCGTTACGCGGCAGATCCGCGTTCTCGGTTGGGTCGACTGGGTACTAGACTTGAAAGTCTCGAAGTTCTTCCGGCTTCGCGACTTAGTGGTAAACGAGGACCTTGTAGAGGCTGGATGGCGACACTCGGAAGCGAAGCGGGCTTCAAAGCGGAAAGGCCACAGTGAGCATCGTGTAGAGAAAACTGAATGAAATGTGCATGCGCTTTGAGGTGCTAATCAGGGAGTAGGGCTACCCAACGGTCCCTCTGTCTGATGAACATGTTGTTCCAGCTACACGCTTGTCTTTTCAACTAGAAGCCTGTGGTTGACGTGTGTGGCTCGGTAGTCTGAGCCTTCGGCACCTGGGCCAGCCACCCTACATGAAAATTTAGAGGCGGATCCGGGAACAGTGACCGTTACCTGAATTCATAGAACAAGAATCATAGCCTTAGCAGAATGCAAAGTTTGATCATCATCTTCTCGCGGTTTTCTTACCTGTTTTTAGAATGGAACCCAGTATACCCATAACTCAAAACCTGGAAGATGGCTCAAGGCGGACAACTTACGCTTTGAGAAAATATGTATATATAGTGGGATGACTCCTCGAGAGAATTCAACTTTAAGGCGTTCAATTATGAGAAGACCTGTACCTGAATCTCGAGCTTGGCTTTGTATAAACGTGACAGAAGAAATCCAAATTCGAAAAAGCTAAAGCATGAAGCAAATCTAAACACTGAGTACAGTAACAGTACAATATAAGCCTCCGCTTGGCTGGGCCGTTCCTTGCACGTGACCGGTGACTCCCGCGGATCGACGGCTCCCCCTCCAAAACACATCGCGTGGCTCGTCCATTTATTAAGAATGCTGCCAAGCGCCGCTTTCTTATTTGGACGTCCAGCTCTGCCGGACACATTATGTCTCTAGTTTGACTACACGTCATGTGGAATGGTACTCTCCATTGTTCAGTACACAGTACTACTGCTCACTATTCAGGCTAAACGACTAGTCTCTTGTTCACTTCCCCTTACAAAGCCTCAGCAATAATCCCTGTTGAGTACTTTGGGGCAACTGAACCACCTCACTTTGTCGCTCTCTTCCTTCAAACATTTCATCTGAAGAGCTTGTGAAGTGGAAATACTATTGCAGTAATTCCCCCCGCAATGGATGAACTTCCAGTTCCCTCCGATGCTGGCCTTGAAGAGCAGCATATTGTGAAGGCGGACGAAGTCGACCAGACAGGCACGGATATTAGCACCGTCTCGGATGATCAGATGCTGGAAGAGGTTGCTGAAGAGCTGCGACAGGAGCAGCAGGCGTTTTCCGACCATGCACCAACAACCAGTACGCTGGAGCAAGCTCCCAGGGGGGCGGAGAAGTTGCCGCCGCGACGCCCAGAGCTGCGCCGGGACTCTTCCGCCCCGCCGCCCCCTCTGCAGCCTCCGCCGCCCGCGCCTGTCCAGCACAACCAGCCCCAGAACCAGGACGCGCCACCCGACTCGCTGAGTCTGGCGCAACTGAGACAGCTGGTCCAGGAGATGCCCAAGGTGGAACAACCGGCATACGCTTTCGAGTATGCTGACGCCCAACCGTTTGTAGAGGAGATTGAAGAGTGGTTCCAGTACAATGAGTACGATCGGGCCATGCTGGTCGGCATGAAGTGGTCCTTTGAGCACAAGTGGCACACATTCTGTGAGGATCGCTCGGTAGATCCCTCGCAGCAGTACTGGCTTGCCGCCCCGCGGGACCTGCAGAAGGCATTCATGAGCCATATCGTCGACGGGCTAGGTGAAAGTACAGGTCTAGTGCGGTTCGAGGCTTCGGAAGCGCTTTGTTATGCCGTGACGGGTGTCTGGGGCATCACCGCTGGAGAGGTTGCGCCTGACTATCCTGGAGGTGTCTCTCCCCCGGGCGCTGAAATTCCGGAGAACAAATCGTTACAAGTCAAATGGATCGAGCATAGTGTTCATCTCCTCCACGAATGTGGTGGTGTTCAGGCATTGTTGGATTGCTTATGTCGGGTCTTCGAGAGACACCGAAGCTCATCCTCCCAAGGCCCGGAGGGCGCTGGCCCTGATTCTGCCAATTCGGCATACATGGAACGCGAGGCGAACCTGCTACTGACGCCACTATATTTCATCGTGGAAGTCGCTCGAAGGCAGGAAATCCTCGACCCGAAGAATGCATCCCTACGGGAGACTCTCATGCAATTGGAGCCAAATCTGCTGGTATTCTTAGTTGAGATCATTGCGAGGTTGCGCTGGGATGACTCGGCCAATATCCCTCTCACCCGTATCATTCTTCTGTTTTGGAAGACCATACTCCTCTTCTTTGGAGGTAGTAGCAAGTTGAAGGAGGTTAAAACGGCACTGGAGCCCGCCTTTGAGGCACGAGAGAACGCTTCCCCGCGCAGGACTCCTTTTCTTACTGCCTCGCCCCTCGATTACCACAACTTCAGACAGGAGATCACGTCAAAGTATCCTGCCTATAATCCACCGCCCCCAGTGGTGCCGCTGGAATTGGAGAACAACTCGATCCTGCCACCGCTACCTCAGCACCCCAGTCGAATCAACACCTCTAACGGCCCATTCTCCGGCGTGGGACCCTCCGTAGCGGGCGGAAGTGGCTCGATCATCCACCAGTCCGTCCACATCGCAACGCCGGCGCCTTCTCCGCCGCCCTCCCCGATCGGACCCGGCGGCAAGGCAGGAAAGAAGCAAAATTACCAGACCAACCAAAACTTCCCCTTTATGTACCCACCCCTGGATGATTCGAGCAACGATCTCGGTGGGAAAGGGACAACTGAGCTGCAAGACGTTCTGGTAGGCAAGAGATGGGAGGGTAGTGATGTTCCCGCTTCGATCATCGAGGCGGGGAAATTATTCTCGACCCACGTCAAGATGACCCGGGCGATGCAGCAACTGTGGGAGGAGAGAGAGCGGTTCATGAAATATGACCGCGGCTGGTGCCCGAATGAGACGTTTCCGTCTACTGAGTTCGAGACAGAGGAACTAGCAGACGAGATGCGCAACTTGGGATTCAGTGTCAGAGAAAGATCGGGAGTTGATCAGCCTTCCGACAAAGAAACAGAAAATGAGGACATCCAGCAACGCTTAGATGCTGTTGAGTCATTCTACGTGAGTGCTCTGGGGGCTTAGGGAATTGGTCAGGAGCTAACCGCCGCTGCAGAGACAAGCGCTAGTGCATTTACAGTCCATCACAATCGTCTTCCTCAAGATCATTTTGACGAACGTCAGTGCTATGGTCAATCAGGCTAACGGACAGAATGGACAGGGGATGGGGTAAGTAGTTTCGTTCCTTTCTGTAACCAAGGCTGATGAAGGCGGTTTGTAAGTGACAACTATGGCCCAGCCAATGGATACCCTTCCGCTCTACACCATGGCCCTGGAGAGCGGAGCATTGAAGCAGCCATTGATGAGCTGGACAATGTGCGGCTCCGAGAGATCACGTCCAAGGCGATATCAGGATCTTTCCTGCTCCTGCTCAAGTGGTTCAAGCGATCTCGTAGGTAGTCTTGACTTGGCGTCTACGAACCAGGCTAACGAGGCCCAGACATACTCAAGTTTGAGTACATGACGCAGTTGCTTCTTGATTCCAACTATCTACCTCTGATTCTCAAGATGTTTGCTCATCAAGATGTTGACCAAGCGGTTGCGCAGAAGAATGATCGCGAGGAGCTGGGGTATGTTATTGGTTCTCATCTCATCCTAAGGCGAGGGTGCTAACCGGCACTTCGAGCAGCTTCTTCCGTTTTTGTCATCTCAAGTCCGACCATCCGCCCGCCGACCTGGACGACGAATCCTTGTCCAGCGAGGACGAAGCGATCCCTCCGCCCATCAACCGCCAACGCCAGGACACGACCGGCCACTCCTCCGTACGAGGGCCGTCGCCCGAATCCCTGCTTCCGGAGTTTAGCGAGGGGCCCCATCGTCCCGAGGTGGACGAGCTCGGGTACCCGATCGCGCCGCCGCCCAAGGAGCCGATCACCGAGTTCTCCTTCCGCAACTTCTTCTCCGCCATCAACTACCTGCACATCATGCAGAAGATCACGCGCGACAAGGCGCACCGGTGCCTCTTGCTGGTGCAGTACAAGTCCAGCACCATCCTCCGCAAGGGACTCAAGATCCCCGACCCGCACCTGCGGTTCTACACGCTGAAGCTCTTCAAGTCGCAGGTCCCGTTCTGCGGCCGCAAGTGGCGCCAGAGCAACATGCGCGTGATCACTGCTATTTACCTCTACTGTCGGCCGGAGCTACGGGATGACTGGCTCTCGGGGGCGGACATCGACGCGGAGGTCGAGGAGGCGTTGCCGCTCGAGCAGGCGCTGCGCGGGCTCACCCACTGGTGGCACCTCCGACGGTACAAGGACGTGATGGGCGGCGGGGAGGGCGCGTCTCTCATGGAGGAAGAGCGGGACTTTTTCACCCGAGAGCTCGAGGCGATGGGATGGGGGATGGCTGGGGATGAGGGGTTCCCGGGTAGTAGTGAGGAAGCTGAGTTGGCCGCCGCTGCCGCTGCCGCCGCAGCAGGGGGCGGTGGACCGATGGTGAACGGGACTGAATGGGATGGGGTTCCCCTGCAGATGGAAAGTGGTTGGTGATACGTACAGTACAGGATAGATAGAGGTTGAATTGTATTAGAAGGGTAGCATGTCCTGCCTCACCGTGGACCCTGCAAGCGGAGTACTAACGTAGTACTGTGACGAAGCCGCGACTAATCAACGATCATCAGTACAATTCCGAGGATTGTGTTTGGAAGAGCCAGGGGAGGGAGGTTGCGGCCTTATCGATAAGAAAAAAGGTTTCGAAAACCACCTCTCACGTGACTCGATCACTGCGGCAACTTTTTTTCACCTTCCTCCTCCTCTCCACCCCCATCGCAAAGTTTTGGTGGCCGCCCCCCGGACCCAAACCATCCCCGACAAACCGACTTGTACTTTGTGATCACGCTCGAAACTTCTTGCGCATCCAGCAAGTAACAGATTCCAAAGTCAAAATGTCGTCCGACGAGATTGTCTGGCAGGTGATCAACCAGCAGTTTTGTTCCTACAAACTGAAGTGAGTTTTTTTTTTTTTTTCTCTCTCCGTCCCGCATCACCAAAAAGAAAAAAAATCCAACCAATTCTACACTACGCCTGTCCACTATCACATTCCATTAAAATTCTACTCCTCAATCATCATTCACCGCCGTACTAATCTCCTCACTCCCAAAACCTGCAGAACCACGAAGGGCCAAAACTTCTGCCGCAATGAATACAACGTCTCGGGCCTGTGCAACCGGCAATCGTGCCCGCTGGCCAACTCGCGGTACGCGACGGTGCGGTCGGACCCGGAGACCGGGGTGATGTACCTGTACATGAAGACGGTGGAGCGGGCGCACATGCCGTCGAAGTGGTGGGAGCGGATCCGGCTGTCGAGCAACTACGCCAAGGCGCTGGAGCAGCTGGACGAGCGGCTGATCTACTGGCCCAAGTTCCTGGTGCACAAGTGCAAGCAGCGCCTGACGCGGCTGACGCAGGTGTCGCTGCGCATGCGGCGCCTCGCCAAGGAGGAGGAGCGCCTCGGCGAGACCGTCGTGCCCCGCCTGGCGCCCAAGGTGCGGCGCCGCGAGGCCACCCGCGAGCGCAAGGCGGAATCGGCCGCCAAGATCGAGCGCGCCATCGAGCGCGAGCTGATCGAGCGGCTGCGCAGCGGCGCGTACGGCGACCGGCCCCTGAATGTGGAGGAGGGGATCTGGAAGAAGGTGCTGCGTGGGTTGGAGCGCACGGGCGAGGGTGAGCGCGATGAGGATCTTGATGATGGGGAGCGTATTGAGGATGAGGAGGAGTTGGAGGAGGAGGGTGAGGAGGGCGTCGGGCAGGTGGAGTATGTTAGTGATGTTGAGGAGAGTGATCTCGAGGATTTGGAGGATTGGATCGGTGGAGAGTCGGCGGATGATAGTGAGGATTTCAGTGAGGATGACGAGGAGGATAGCGAGGATGAGGACGATAGTGATGAGGAGGATGACTCGCAGCACAGTGAGGATGAGGGCGCCGCCAAGAAGAAGCCCGCCCCCGGCTTCAAGCGCAAGCGTCCTGCTCCCCAGGCTAAGCCCCGCAAGAAGGGTCCTCGCATCGAGATCGAATACGAGACTGAGGGGCCTGGAAAGGTTCTGGCCTAAGCCCCGTTGCTGGATAGTGGAGGGGATTGGGGGTGCACTACAAAAAGCTCGGTTGTGGTCGTGTTTTCGTATGGCGTTGTTTCGGTTCGAGTTTCGTTGATGTATCTACTGACTTGCCTTTCTTTCGTTGTCGCTCATGCTGCGATCGGGCATATCATACCCAGCCATTGCATATAGCTTGTTGAATGATTGTTCTGCTGATGATGCTGGTGCTGGTGCTGGTGCTGGTCGTAGTTCTCGAAGATGTAGCGAAGCTTGCCTGCCGTTGTTCCTTGCATAGAATGGCGGCCACCAGTTGGCGGTGTGACAAGGCCGAGCGGCTCACGTGCTGTGGCCAAGCGGGCGGAGTGAAACACGGAGAGTGGATCGCCAACATGGCCAGAGTCAATCCCCAATCAATGCCAAACTCCCCTTACGAGGGTGCTTGCTCAACTCCTGTTCCTGCTACACGTCGTGATTGGCATCTTCGACATACCGTGTTCCAAACTTTCTTGCGATTCGCCTTTGACGGCTACTTTACGACCCTCGTTGCTCTCACCTTGCAGGGCGCCCTGCTGCTCTCTTCCGCCTTCCTCCGCATTATCTTTCACCCCTCGTCTCAACCGCTCGATACCCCCACCATTGGCTGATCCTTCAACCCTTTTCTCTGGCTCACCCCCCCCTCCTCCACCTCGCACGAACAATCGCACGGTCAGGGACGGGCAGCAACTACACCAAGATGACTTCATACTTCTCGTCGCTGACCTCCTCGTCGGCCATCTCCAACCTGGGCACCCGGCTCAACTCCCTGAAACGGGCCATCACGTCGGGCGACGAGCGTGACGACCCGGATAACGAGGACTGCTCGCACATCTCGAACGTGCTGCGCGCCTACTACACCGAAAAGGGGCGAGCGTATCCCTCGTGGCTGCCCCCGGACCCAAAAGCCCCCGCGCCGGTGCCGGCGCGGGTCATCGCGACCTCCCAGATCCCACTCGGCGCTGCCGGTGGTGGCGCCCCAGCGTCATCAGCATATGGACGTGGCGGTAGCGCTGCTGCTGGTGGTGGTGGTGGTGGTGGACTAGGCGACCTGTGGGGAGATGCGGGCTCGGCCACGCCTCCCATCTCTCAAACATCCAGTTTGCGCCGGGGTCGCATGACTGCTGGGGGGAACAACAACAGCATGGGGGCACCGCTCTCGGCGACGGCTAGTGCTCCGGGAGGCCCAATCCACCACAACAGTCTGTCCCCGACCCCGTCGACCATGCAGCCGCACCCTCACCACCCAGCCGCCGGCGGCGGCCGTCCCCTGCCCAGTCAGCGCGCCGGATCCTACCAGACGATCTCGGGCCCCGTGACCGGCGGCGGCGGCGCGACGCAGCAACCGCTGGAGCGCGCAGCGTCGGCCCAGGAACGACTCCGGGCACGCTTGCATGGGGGCCGGTCGCCCAGTCCCGGCCAGAATCCGAGTAGTCGGCCGGGTTCACCCTACGTGGCAGGGGGAGCGGATCCTAGCGCACGAAAACCGGTAGGGATGCCGGGTCGACGATAATGGCAAGGAACCAATGATGACCGTGCGAGCTAAATCCTGATGGGGAGGGAGTAAAAGGAATAGCCCCGGAGTCAAGGAAAAAAACGCCACGACTAGAAGGGGGGGAGGGGCACCAATACCCGACCTGTAGGGAAAAGATGGAGACTTGCTGGTTTTAGTCTTCGTCTTTTTCACAGAGTCGGGTGGTGCCGATGGAGAAGGGCGGGGGTGTGGGTGACGGAGTGAGTAGGAGAGTAGGAAGGAGAGTGAGGAAAATGAGAAATTAGTGAGTTACCCCAAGGCCATGTTGGGGATGCGCTGCGGTTTACATAATTACTTTCCTTCCCCCAGCGGGCTTTTCAGTGTTGTCCTGCTGTGCTAGTGCTGTGTGGTGTATTTTATTAGCGATGCGAGTTTGATCCGTTGTTGCGAGTCCTCTTGTTGTCAGTCTCTAATAAATTCATAGCCATGATCATCATGCAACCCAGCTGATATCTTTCTTGACTGTGTGATAATATTCTTGTATTTTCTGTTACTATTTTCTCCCAACCCACAAACCCACTTCTACTCCCCAGAGAGCAGGGCAAACCGTCCCCCATGTGTGGGGGTGCAACTCCTGGGCGGGTTTTAGTTAGGTTTGGTGGACGAGGGGTGGCCTTCAGCCGTGGTTGAAGGACCGGGAAGCTTTTTCGATTCTCAGCCAGGGGAGCGAATGGGGGAGTCGGAATCTCTGGGGGGGGAGGTGAAGGCTTCAGCTTCAGGGCCGGCCTCGTGGATAAAGGATTAACGCAGAGGATAAGAGAAGGTGCCCATGTTGGGCAGCGTGGAATTCGTGGGGGTGGAAAATGGCGCAACCATACAACGTCGTTCTGTACGCCAACCCAAGATATCATGGGGGAAGAATCGGGAACTGGAGAGACGAAGCGGGCAGACCGTCAGTCACGCGGGTCACTCGTTGAAAACTGGAATGGTGCCGGAGAGTCTCCGAAATTGTCCCGGTCCCGGCATTGGAGAGAAAAGGCAGAAACTCGGCTCGGCTTACCTAAAGGCTAACGCTAAGGCCGCTCGCTGCTTTGGCTGCCCACGGGGAACTTTTTCTCGTTTCTCTGGATTTCTCCGCAATCCGCATTTCTGTCTCCACTCCAACTTTCAACTTACCCTTGTTGATTCCTCTCCATCCCGACCTTTTCTCGTGTTCACTGCATTCACTGCATCCACTGGGTGAACGGGGTTGAATTGGATTCACCTAGTCTCATTTAGTCCTTCTTAGACTCTCTGGCTGACTCTCTCTGACCCATGGTGGCCCCACTCCCCGGTCTTTCTCTGTTGTCTCTGTTTTCTCTGCCCTTCCATTCGGTCATTCTCTATCCCGCCCCGTCTTTCGTGCTGGCAATCCCTGGTCGTTTCGGCTTCCAAGTCTGGCCAGACGGCCCGATGACGCGGTTGTGCCTGCCGACCCCAGTTCTGCTTGGCTCGTCGAAAATTTTCAACAATGACGATGGTCAGTCAGTCAGTCAGTCAGTCAATCATGGTGACACCGGGTTTTCTGGGGTCGTTGGGCGTTTCTGGCCTGATGCGCCTTGCCTTTAAAAGCCTCGTGCATTCCCCTCTTCCCCCCCCGGAATGGATTGCACTCGATCTGCACGCTTCCCCGCTTCTCATTCCTCTCCATCCCCCTCCTCCCCTCGTGGTGGACATCCCTCCCTTTTCACCTCAGTCCTCGTTCTGCTCTTGAGGCTGTGGTCAACTGTGGTCGTGCAGACAGACAGTACATACACCCGGAGTAAACCGTCTATTGTTACACAGTACACACAATTCCCCCCCCTCCTAAGCCCTGCAGCTGGCACAGCCGCCCCTTTAACCAATCATGGGGACCATGCACGATTTGGACACCGCCCATGACGACCACAAGGATGGCACCGCGGTCGAGATGGACGACATCCGCAAGGACCCCAAGGCTATGGAGGAGCTCACCGAGGCTGCCATGGATGCAGAGCTGCAGGAACTGGAGCAGCAATTGAGAGAGATGCCCAAGTCCCGCTTCGAGATTGCCTTCTCCAGCCCGGCCATCTACACCTACATGCTGGTCGCATTTGCCTCCATGGGAGGTCTGTTGTCCGGTCTGGACCAGTCCCTCATTAGTGGTGCCAATCTCTTCTTGGGCGATGCGCTGCACCTCAGTGACAACCAAAGCAGTCTGGTCGACTCCGGTATGCCCTTGGGTGCCGTGGCTGGTGCGATCCTTCTGTCCCCATCCAATGAATACCTGGGCCGTCGTATGTCTATCATTGTCTCTTGTATCCTCTACACAGTTGGTGCGGCCCTGGAGGCTGGTGCTGTCAACTTTGGTATGATCTTTGCCGGCCGTTTTATCCTCGGAGCCGGTGTCGGTCTGGAGGGTGGTACTGTCCCTGTCTACGTCGCTGAGAGTGGTATGTTCCTTTCTGTCGTCTTCTGTTGTGGGCCGATCCGCTAACCGCTTCCAGTCCCCAGTCGTATTCGTGGCAACCTCGTTTCCTTGTACCAATTGAACATCGCCTTGGGTGAGGTGTTGGGCTACGCCGTGGCTGCCATGTTCCTCGACGTCACTGGCAACTGGCGCTACATTCTCGGTTCCTCCTTGGTCTTCTCCACCATCCTCCTGGTGGGCATGTTCTTCCTGCCTGAGAGTCCCCGTTACCTGATGCACAAGGGCCGGGCCGTGGAAGCCTACGGAGTGTGGAAACGCATCCGTGGCTTTGACACCTACGAAGCTAAGGACGAGTTCCTGGGAATGCGCCAGGCTGTCCTCGCCGAGGCCGAGGAGCAGCAAAACACCAAGAAATACGCCTGGATGGACTTCTTCACCAAGCCCCGTGCTCGTCGTGCGCTTGTCTATGCCAATATCATGATCGTTCTTGGCCAACTGACGGGTGTGAACGCCGTCATGTACTACATGAGCACCCTCATGACCAATATTGGGTTCAACACTAAGAATAGTGTATTCATGTCCCTTGTTGGCGGTGGGTCACTCCTTCTGGGTACAATCCCTGCTGTGATCTACATGGAGCGGTTTGGCCGGCGTTATTGGGCCAACGTCATGCTTCCCGGTTTCTTCATCGGTCTAGTCCTCGTCGGTGTGGGCTACCAGTTCAACTACAACACCCACCCGGCTGCCGCTGAAGGTGTCTATCTCACCGGCATTATCTTGTACATGGGCTTCTTCGGATCCTATGCCTGTCTCACCTGGGTCGTCCCTTCGGAGGTCTTCCCCACCTACCTCCGTCACTACGGAATGACCGTGGCGGACGCCAACCTCTTCCTGTGCTCTTTCATCGTGACCTACAACTTCACGCGCATGATGAAGGCGATGACCCGCACTGGTCTGACCCTCGGGTTCTACGGAGGTATCGCCTTCATCGGCTGGATCTACCAGATCATCTTCATGCCCGAGACGAAGAACAAGTCCCTCGAGGAGATCGACGAGCTCTTCTCGCGGCCCACCTCGGAGATCGTCAAGGAGAACCTTGCTCAGACCAAGGAGGTTGTCGGGGATCTGCTGTGTGGCCGGTGGAAGAAGGCGTTCTCGCCTCCTCCTAAGCGGGAGTAATGGTGCGTCGGATGTGTTTGGTGGTGCAGCCTCGAGGCTGTGCTGGGTTTGTTCCACTCAGTGATTTGACTATGATGTTTACAAGCGTGCCTCTGCATGTGTTTAATGAATACCAGATAAGAAACAAAAAGAGGATTTACCTCAAGATGCTTATGAATCAGGATATCCGACATTGGCAATGGAGCTTGATTGATGAGGCTACCCAGTGGAGATTGGTTGAGATTTGTAGTAATAAGTAGCCAGTAGCTTTCCTATATCACTATACACTATTTGTATAATAGGCCCGAGGTAGGAGTTGTGTAAGTGACAGTGCTATTCAGAGTTAGTCTCTTGAATATATTGGTAGTGGGAGTGGGAGTGGTAGTATGTATAAGCAATTGACGTGTAGAAGTCCTGCGGTGAATGGGTTTAGATGATGTGCCTCCGGTCAAGAAACACCAACGAAGTGCCTGCTAAATATCGCGTGTACTGGATCCCTCGTAGCATGAATCATAGTCGACGTTCAGATACACCGAGTGATACGTCTTGAACACTACTTCCAGAGCGTAATTCATCCCTGAACTCTGCATAGACACCATGGTATGCAGCTGGAAAACATTTATTGGTGTTAGAGTAGGATCCCTGCCACTCCGGATATATCAAGACGAGGATAATAGATGTGAGGTGTTCACAAACGACACAACACACTCTCTGTGGAAACAAGTTCACAATGGAAGAGGAAGACACAACAAATAACGACTGACCTCTCAGTGTGCGGTGTGGCCTGAGAGCTCACTCCCCTTCATCTTGCTGAAGATAGCGGCGCGACTACTACACTAGACTATAGCATACACTGTCATCATCCAGGTAGGATGATGACCGCGATACTCCAAGGTGGGTAGGGCCATGAATTGCCCCAAATCCGTTTCCTGTCGGGCCCGGTTGTCTTTCACGATTTCCGAGGATATGTTCTTTGTGATGTATACAGAGTTCTCAGTCCGGGATTCAAGATTGTGAATACAGGCGACGTACACAGTATCCGGTGAGGTGTATTATCATCTTGCGCCCTTGTCCCAGAGCCCCTGGCTTTTAGTCGAGTCAAAGATCCAGTGAATCACCAGGGGAGATTCATGCAACTGACATATATCTGCTAGGAACTCTCCCCGTACTGTACCGAGATCACCCAGTTTAGTTTTCGAGGAAACCAAGAATCCCCACACCTAGGAAGCTGCCAGGCAGGGGCAAACGGAAGCAGAACTACTGTACAGTGATTGTCCACTGGCGAGTGGCCCATACAACCTTCCAGCCACCTCAGCTTCCGACAAGCCATGTCCTTGTACAGTACGGGGTAGTCTCTGTCCTCAACCCCACCCCTAGCAGCACCGCATACCCGCATTCACCGTAAATAACCACCAAATAGCCCTTGATCTTATGGTTCTTGCTCTGCACCCCATCGACTCACCGTCATCATCAACCCATCCACCGGCCGCGCCGTGATCTGTCGTGTCTGGCCCACATCCGCAGCGGTTAGCGTGAGTCCACAACCCCCCCCCGCCCCCCCCCGTTGCACCTCCAGCTTACATGCCATGCAAGAAAAAAGGGAACAAAAAGAGGGACAAAGGGACTAAAGGGAAAAGCAAAGCAAAACTTACCGTATAAGCCAGCGCCTCGACCTCGAACTGTCCATCCGGCCGCATCACCGGCCGGCCCGTGGCCGCGTCGCGCGCCACCGCGCCCAACCCCACCTTGGTGAACGCATAGCGCCGCACCACCACGGCCAGGATAACGCGAATGACGAGGGAAATTTCAAGCCAGCGGCTTTCGCCCGATCGCAGTGACCACGCGGCCCTGATGCACGACAACGCCCTGCTCCGTCTCCTTGACGGCCGCGGTGAACAGGGCGACCCAGGCCTCACGGGACAGGGGTGCATTAGGCGCCTCAGCCTTCGGGGGGAAACAGCGCGGCGAGTTCCTCCCACACGATCAGGTAGTTCTCCGTCCAGGCCTTGTAGTCCTGGGGCCGCTTGTCATGGGACAGCAAGCGGGCCTCCTGGAAGCCGAATTGCGTGAGCTGGGGGTCCAGCGCGTCCACCCAGGCGTTGCTGATGCCCTTGGCGCGCAGCCCGTCCCGCAGCACCTGCGAAGCCTGGCTGCAGGCGGCCTTGGGGACTTCCGCGGTGGGGGCCTCGACCAGAAATAGATCCCCGCGGGCTCTCCTCCCACTGGAGGTAGCCACCGGGCTTGAGCAGGGACGAGGCCACCGTGAGGATTGGGGTGAGGTCGGAGTCCGGGCCGATCAGGCTCGCGAAGGCGCGGATGTGTACGACGTCGTAGGCGCCGAGGAGGGGGGCTGGGAGGGGTTTGGCCAGGATGTCGAGCTGCTGCAGCGACACGCCGGCGGGGAAGTTGACCAGGTTGATGTCGAAGCCATCCAGCTGAACTGAGAGATCGTGGTTCGTGGTCAGTTGGGTGTGGAGCTCGGTGAGCCAGATGCCATTGCCACAGGCAAGATCCGCAATCTGGAGGGGTTGCTGCTGCACGGCGGCCATCACGGCCTTCGCGATCACCGGCTCCAGGAGATAGCCCAGGGTGTTTTGGTACAGGAAGTGCTGGAGGTGCAGGCGCGCCGCGGATCGGAAGTTGTGGGCGTGCGCCGTCCAGTAGGTGGACTGGTTGTAGCTTGAGATGTGGGATGGGCCGGTCATTCTGCTTGATTGGGGTTTGTTAGAAGGTGGCCAGAAGGGAGTTGGTCGGGATGAAGTTGGAAGAAGAAAGGGGGCTTCTGTTGCTGGATGGATTGGCTTTTAAGGACAGTGCCGTACCTGGATGGCTTGGATAGGAAGACCAGGGTAGAGTGATACTAAGTAGGATCAGGTAAAGTGGTAGACAAAGGGACAAAGAAACTGGCGGCAGGGATAGTGGGGGCTTTAGATGAGTGATTTCCTGCTGCGGGCTACTGGCATTGACCATGTGTGTTTACATCCATGTCATATCCATGATGATAGTCTTCTATACCAAGCCTTACTTGGCCGCGTGCTTACTTCTCTACGGACCCTGGGTGTCGACCCCGGGGTGCCCTAGTGGTCCGGCTCCCCTCGATCAGGGGGTCTGGGGTTGGGCATGTGTCCAGCAAACCAAGAAAATCAATCAGGCCATTCGGGCGAGTGCACAGGGCCCAGAGTTATTGCGAGATGCACCCGGACTGTTCCACCTCGGCCTCCCGGTAATAGATCACGTGCTATCATAACCCTGCCCGTTGACGGGAGCTGAAGCTTTACAAGCGATCTATAGGTACAAAGAAGTATTTGAGCATCCGTCTCTTGCACTTATGAACCATAGAAGGATGTAGAAAGCACTCTTGAACAGAGGTTCCTAGAGTACTCGACGACTTTAGATTCGGCCACGGTCCGCAGCCGCAAACTCCAAAGCTCGTGGGTGTAGTCCCGCCTCGCAACGACAAGATGTCCAACATGCTTGCTACCGGTAAACTCCACCGTCCAAACCAAATCTTCTCTCTCCGCCAGTCGACGCACCTCGCTGGCGTGATTGAGGACATCTTCCCACGGAACCATCGCGTCTGCCCGGGAATAGAGATATCCCCGCCTTATCCCGGCCCGCCGAAAGCATTCCGCGGGGTGGTTGAGACGGCGCCATGTTTTCGTCATGGCATTTTCGGATAAAGCTGGAGGCGGTCCAGCAGCCCCAGAGTACCCACAGCCAAGTAAGTCACATCAACACCCGGCACTCTGAAGAGGGGCGATCGAGGAAGGGCTTGGATCAATCTACGCGCAGAGCGTCTCACCGATGGCTGGCCGGGACCGCCCGTCCAAAATCAACCTCATGATCGGGAGATTTGCGGACGGATGAGCGGCTCGATATGCCTCTGCCAGCTGCACGGCGGCGTAGCTCCCGGCATTGGAGAAGGCGTGGACGATTAGAAGGGGTTCCAGATTGCTCTTTGAAACAAGAAATGCGTCGATGGCGGCCACCGCATGGTCAAGGCCTTTGATCTCTTGGGAACCACGAGTCCAGATCATGTCGCCGGCGGACGGGCTGGATGAGAAGGATATTGGCATCGGGAAGGTGGGTTTGGTATAACTGAGTGTACTTCGCAATATGCTTGGGTGCGGCAAAGAGTCAGGTGCAGATAACAATGAGACACGACGTTTGATCGGGTTGGTGGACGGTAGTGCCGGTGTACAGGGAGACCTGGCTGCTTGGGCGAAAGAGCCCTGCTGGAAGGTTGGCGCGTCCAGATCATGGCAAGGACGTTACTCTTGGTGAAGGTTCATTGGGGCTGGAGGCTTGAAGGATTCAAGTTACCAGGAAACTCGCATTTGCTTAAGGTTCTTTGGAAGTAGAAACAGATCCTGGCCACCGGCAGGGTGCGGCCATTCCTTAGGTGGGATTGCCACAAGAAGTCCCGTTCTTGGTTGTATCGTTGGACTAACAGTATTAGGCTCTTGGCTCTGGGAGATAGTAGAGAATCAGAATAAAGCAGGACCTATCCACAATGTGTATACGTGGTGAAGATACTTTGACGGTATGGAGTATTTTCGAGCGCCATCTGCAAAAGACACCGACTGGCAATCCAGATGCTGTTGCAAAACTGCATTTATTACCCCGCAGCTGGAGAAGGCGCTGAGGGTACTCGGAAGATACTTTCTCCCATGCCCGAGCCTGACGCTGTAAGCCGACCTGGTACCTCAATAGCTGGCTTTGGGAGCCATGGATGAGATCGATCCATGACACAAGGTAAAAGAGTCGTCGAAGGATGATATCTTGGCCGACTTTGCCCACACCCATTGATTCAGTATCCCATCCCATCGGCTTTGCAACTGAAAGCCAACCCTCCATGTTCTTTTGAAGATGTCGATGTTGTTCTGTACGACCCAGGAGTCCGCCCTTTAGCCTTTTCACCTTGGACGATCACTAATGAATCTGTTGTTGTGAAACGTATGTTCAGCGCGTCGTAATGAATCTCTAGAACAGCCATCAACCACTCGCGAGCCGTTGATCTCACCGTTACCAGCGTTCCTGGAAGAACAGAGTTCAGCACCACCTGCATCTAGAGCATTCCGGGCCGAGCCGGCATCCCCAGCATTGCCGCACAAACTCCCCCGACGGACCAAGGCTCACGTTGCATCGGCATGTGTCAATTGCAAAAAGAAGCACCTGGGTTGTGATCCCGCCCGCCCGTGTCGGCGGTGTGTCTTATCCGGTAAAGAGGTGTGTCACCCTGTCCCCAAAGTCCCTATTCTTTTCTATCCATCAACAATATTGGGTCACTTGCGTAGATCTGTGAGATGAAGAGATACCCGGCAGTGGCTGAGGAGCATAGGCCACATGTATCGATGTCACACACAAGAAACGAGGACGGCCACCGCTGAAGGCAAAAACAGTATCATTTCAGCCGTCAGCTGCAACGACGGACAGTCTAGGTGAATGTGTTTCGGGGATTGCAGACCTACTGTTCCGCGAACTTGGGTTTCTACATCCCGATTCGGAGATGATAGACACATTGTCGCAGTCGCTTCCGGACCTATTGAAAGGTTTCGCACTGAAGCTACAGGGTCGAGAGTCCGTATCGGATGACAGTGGCATTGCCATTTTCGTGTATAACAACTGCCAGTAAGTTGCTCAGAACGAGATCACGTGAGTGGTACTACGGATTCTAATGCTGTAAAATGCTAGTGAGATTGCCACTGCGTTCAGAGACAAGTGGCAAGGTTGGCGAGGCTATGAGCCAACTGACTGCAGCACAGATGGCCTGAGTGCATCCCGAAAGGAGTCGGTTCAGAATTCGCACCAAGATCTGTGGAGCAGCCCTCCAGATGGGGGTGCTCAACCGACGGCAGGGTTCAATGAAAAGGTCCAAGCAAAAGAGGCAAAGATACAGTTGATGACTAGGCTTCGAGAAATCATCGGGAAGGCTCCAGCTTATGAATGGCTTATTCAAAGCCTACGAAAAGAGCTTTTACTCACACCCCCGGGTAGCAACATGATTCATTTCAGGGACACAATCATCAGCGACTTGCTATCTACTAGGCCAAGCGCGGCACCTCTATCGGGAAGCTTCACGGTATTGTTTCAAATGCGATGGGACCTTCTACTATTCATCCAGGAGCAGGATTATCAGGAACCAGCCGATGCTGTCCTCGAGGGAGCTCTAACTCTGACCGGCCATGTAAAGAACGCCCAGGCTTTGCCGTGCGCTCAATATATGCGCCAGACTTGGCCCCTGACCGGAGGGGACATACTTGACCTCGTTAAGCGCGTCATCGGCAGCGGAAAGCGCTGCGAGCAGAGCAGTATGTATGCTGCGAAAGGTCCTCTTGGTCACTTCATCTAACGTTATCTTCTGTCAGCAACTTTGTTTGACGGGACCAAATTGACACTCGTGAAGGCAGCGTCCGACTTTCATATCAAGGCCACAGGAGATCCCTGGTCTATTGCGGAAGTGGCAGAGCAGCTTGCATGGCTGGGTGCTGCCTTACGCCCCCCATTCTATACAACTGCTCTGAACCTTTGCACGCCGTCAGTTAGTCTCAAAAGTCTTCAACGGGACCCACCACATCTTGCGACCTTCGAGATCGAATTCTCACATGAGGAGCAGCCCGGCCTGCTCTGCCCTAGGCCAGGTGAATGTTGGAAGAATCTCTTCAATAGTCACATGGTCGTGGCGGGTTACCCTATCCTACGCAGAGCCCAGGTAGACACCGGTCTTGAGATTTCCTTAGGTATCATGGCTGCACTAGTCCAAGCTCGGGTGACCATATTCGATGGCAAAGTCTATCTCAAAGGCTTTTGTACGATGATGATTCCAACAAGGTTCATAGATGATGTGGTACTGTGGCATATTATCTTCAACAACAAGGGCGAGTATGTTTCTTATACGGACCCTCAGGTCCACAGCCTTGAGGGGCTGTATCCCGATAAACTCACCATGACCCAGCTCCAAGTCAGCCGACATATTCTGGGATGGTGTTCAAACGCTCTGAACCGTGCCGGTGAGAGCCCCGTACTGGCATACGCTACGCTGCATTTGCTAATGGAGAATTAATCCAGGATCCCGAGATGCAAATTATAGCATCGACTGGTCCGGGTTATTGCAACCATTCAGAGGCTTTGAGCTCGAGAGGGTGTTTATACACAGCGGACGAATAGTCCAGAAAGATGTCTCGGCAGTGCTTGGGAAGCGGGACAGACCGGCGTATTTCGGCTCCGACGTTTACTTGGACAGGCTGAAGTGGATCTCTCGCAAATTCGTCGTCTTGTACGATGTGACTGATAAACGGGGCTGGCTCACCGATGGCGCCAGCGCGCTTCTACATCTGGTTCGGGCGTCCCTCATCAGTGACGAAACCGGGGACTTTGGGGAGGACTTTCTCCTTGATTGGGCAGATGTCGAGGAGCCAAGGGAGTCCGGAGCGTCAGCCAAGGCTGCGGCTATTGCCTTTTTGAGAAATGAACAGAACAAAAATCTCAAGCTATATGGGGCCAGCGATAGCTCAGCCGGTCCGGCGGTTTCGTCCTCTGGCAGCGGCGCAGCGGGCCCGAGGAGGCAGGACGCGCCATATTACATGTTGAAGAATCGTGTTGAAGCAATATTTTATCCGATGGAGCAGATAATTACCCACCAAGAGCAGGTAGGTGTGGCACGACAGATGGGCTTTACGACGAATCAAGCGCCCGACGCTCTGGAGGGGTTTGATTTCATGGACGTGGCCACCGGCGAGGATGTGTTCTCGGCCCGGTTCACGGAAATTGAGCCTGATTGCAGGGGCTGGGTGGACTTTGCTCGATCTATCCACGCCGTCGTTTTGTTCGGGAACGGATTTGGCGAAATCATTCAACCGAGCAATGCGGAAGATGTCTGTCCTATGTGGGCTAGTGTCCCCAGAGGATTAGACTGCCTCGCAGCATGCGTGTCTGATATCGAGTCTATCCTCAAAAGGCGGGGAAGCTCGCGGGCTAATCCCTGGCGTCTGGTGGATGGTATTATTTGGCACAGCCCTGAACGAACCTTCGAGCCATGCCAATGCCACGACGGCCCCAGGACCGAGGCCTGTAACAGAGTCCAAGTCCTATTTCCGGATAGTTGGCCTGGGATCAGTGGCCGAGCCTTTGTTAGTCCATTTACACTGATCAAGAATGGAGCTGTAATATTCGGTCAAGGCCCTACATCGCTGGACTTTGGCCGGCCAGAGACCGTGAGCCGGAGTCAGGGCGTATCGAATCCTTCCAAGACATCCTATAGCCCTTCTCTCGACAGCGGCCTTGGTCAGAGCCAGGGCTTGCCAGCGACCACGGAAATGAGCGAAGGTCCGCAGCCGGGACAGAAGAGGCCTTCCTGTGATATGGAAACAACACTGCGATCCGGGAAACGCCGCGCGGTTCCACTGGAGTCGGGTGCCATGCCAAACTGGCGTACTGAGCCCTCTCCGCTGGACTATAAAGTGGGATGGCTCTGCGCGATCAAACCCGAATTCGACGCCGCGCTCGCAATGCTAGATGCAACCTACGACCGGGGATTCGGACATGGGTCCGATCAGAACCTGTACACTCTAGGCCGGATCGGGGTCCACAACGTCGTCATTACCTGCCTTCCGATGGGACGGTACGGTACCAATGCGGCCGCGGTGGCCGCCACCCGGATGATGAACCGGTTTCCGAACATCCAAATCGGCCTCATGGTTGGGATCGGCGGAGGGATCCCAACGGCGAGAAACGATATTCGCTTGGGGGACATCGTCGTCAGCAAGCCGGAAAGTCACCACGGGGGAGTCATCCAGTACGATATGGGGAAATACACCCGAGATGGGTTCGAGTCAGTCGGATATCTCAACCCTCCCCCGGAAATACTGCTGAATGCCCTGAACTGCATGCCGGCACACGGGACGCCGCTGGGGATTGGTCCCAACGACCTATTCACCCCGTATCCCGGGGAGGAGCTCGATTGTCTCCATACCTCCGACCAACTCGCCCCGCGAGATCCCGGCCATCGAGAGCGTCGGGGACCACATGTCTTCTACGGCACGATTGCGTCGGGCAATGCGATCATCAAAGACGCCACCGTGCGCGATCGCCTGGTGCAGACGAACGGTTTCCTCTGCGTGGAGATGGAAGCGGCCGGCCTGATGAATAGCAGTTTCCCTTGTCTGGTCATCCGCGGAATATCCGACTATGCGGATTCCCATAAGAACGACAGGTGGCAGGCATATGCGGCCGCTGCCGCTGCCAGGTACGCTCGGGCTTTTCTCTTTGTCATTCCTGAGAATCTTGCGGTTTCGAATCCTTCCTGAAGTAGCGGCATTGGGAGGGGCTCGGATGGATGCTGCGCGAAGCGATTCTGAAGCTACCACTCCCTTGTATCTCTGATGTCTATGATCCGGTTTCTCGGTGTGTGGTACAATACATGCATACATGATGAAGTAGGGCATCTGCACCCTTCGAATAATCTTGAAAAGGCATTGCAAACGGTCTGAAATTAGTGTAGGAATTCTATCTAGAGATATAGAACAACTACCCTGATTACCTTTACTACCGTTACTGTAGGCTATCTACTAATATTTCGACCTTATTAGCACTGATGACCCTGATAGCGATATCTTCGTCCCCAATAGAATCCCAAGGATTTCTGATGATGCAAGAATATTGCTACCGGCTTTACTAACTTAGGTAAAGGGTTTTTATCTTCATCCTTATATATATGATCCTACATACAGAAATGATTGCGCTAGTAAATAAGTCGTCCCCACTATCTCCGATCGCAAATACGGCCAAGAAACAAAGGGAGTATACATGAAGAACTTGTTCTCAGTGCCTTGTCATGTAAATTACCTTCCCTGACCCAACTCGGGGAATAAGAGAGGAGTCAGGCATAGATTGACCAGCCACAGGATAACGTATTGTCTCCTGTAACTTCAGTGGGTCTGTAATTCCTGGAATCTGGCGGTGTCTTATCATAACCAGTACATCATAGCAGAAGACCTGCGTGGAAATAGAAGCAGTACATGCTGGATCGGCGGCGCATACACGCCCCCGTCTACAGAGCTCCATCCAGCCTTTCATTTGGGAGCTAACCCGTACGTTGGTCTTTCTCCTCGTCTTACTAGGCGTGAATGTTGGTGTGTCTGGTCGCACTATGCGGGTTATGGTTATTCTTGCTGGACGTGCCGCATAGGGTGGAGGGTGAAACGTTCACATTACTGCTGAGTTGTGATGAACGAATCTTCTTTCTGCCGGTTGAACCGAGGCCACATAGTGGAGAGCTCTCGCAGAGCGGAGTGGAAGAACAGAATAAGAAACATCGATCAGTCAATTTCAGAAGCGTTCCATACATAGAGGGGTAGATTCACGCTTCCTGTAAGCATCGTTATATGTGTGGGGTTTTCCCAGCTTTACCGGCTGGAAAGCTAAATTGTAACCCCAGAGTTCCTTCTCCCCAGTAGATTCAAGAACCTGCACGCATGTTCGCGGCTGATGCGAAGGATCGACCATCTTCATAGGAAGGGGTTAGGTTTCAGATTTTGTCCAACAAACATCCCAGCACACTAGTTGCAACCCACTCCCGGTCCTCGGCCAAGCCCTTCATGAGAAGATCCTCTCCCTCTTGCAAAATACCACGTACATCCCTACCTGGCAGAGTGATTCTGTACGGAGTACAGAGGACCAACAGCCCGACGCATACCACCGTGCGCCAGACGAGCTCGTCATCCAGATGCCGGGTCTCGTGATATCCATCAATAAAGCCCCGCATGATGTTGAGGGGCGCATTGATCCCCCCCGCGCGATCGACGACATAGAGGTTCGTGATGATGCGAGCGAAGTCCAGAGTCTGGCAGCCGAAATGACAGGATTCCCAGTCGATGGGGACGATCGTCGAGGAAAGGAGGCCGAACGACAGCAGCACACTATTTTTGTCCATACTGTCAGCAGGGTCTTTCTTGTTCTTTCGAGGCCGTCCGAGCCTCCCGGGGCATGGGGCAAGGAGCATACTTCATCATATGGAAGTCCCCGTGCGTGATGCCGATATCGCGTCCGTAGTCCCTTTGCAGCTCCGCCGCGACAACGGCCCTCACGCGCGCCTCGTCGGTCCGCAAGACGCCCGGATATGCCTGGAGGTTCTGCTGCAGGTTGTTTGTGTTAAACTCCAGCAAGAACCGGCGGGCGCTGTCACTTCCGCTCACGATCTGGGGGAATTCGGCGCGGTCCAGGGTGCGTGTGCTGGAGTGGAAGTTGCCCAGCCAGGCGCCGAGGCTGAACCCGAGGGCAGACCCGGCAGGCGCTAGGAGATGGCGCCAGGAGAAGGTGGTCAGGAACTGACGCAAGGTGATCGATCCGGGGATGTCCTCTATCAGGACTGCGTTCTCCTGAGGCAGAAAGTCGTAGATCTCGGTGGTTCTCGCCGTGAGGCTTTTGACGGTCACCGCGGGAACTGCATTGGGGTTTCGTGCCAACAGAAGCAGGACTTCATTCTCCCGGGCCTGTTCGAACTGCGTTAGACGTGGGCGGCCGATGACTCAAAGGAGCCTCGGGGTGCTTACGACTCTATCTTCTGGGAGCTGAAGCTCTAGCCTTGCTGCATAGCTGGCAGTGTGCTTGATGATGATTGTGCGGGCCCCATTGTTAAGCGGGCGGAGGAGGATCCCGCGGTACACGAATGCGGAGTAGCCGCCCAGGCGTTCCAAGGAAGAGCAGACATATTTTGTTGTACTCAGGCACTTCAGAAGCTTGCTGCTAATCTCTTCATCGTTGTTGGTGGTGGTGGTGGTGGTGGCCATTTTACTGTGTTCTCGGCTGTGTGAGGCTTGAGAACAAGAGAGCTGGGTTTTCACTTCAAAGGATTTCCGTCAGACTAGGGGGATGATCTAATGGTTGGTTCTTATGTACAACTCGCAGAAGTGTTTAGCTCTGGTAGATAGATGGAAGAAACTGAAACCCCTTCCTTAGGCACACGTTGATCAGTGGAGAGGTTGATTGTCAGTGAATTACCGAGAATGGTAGGTTGGATTAGACTTGTCGTAGAGCTATTGTATTCGTGCATATTATTCCGTTTGGGGGGGGGGGGGGGGGGGAAGTACCTATGCTTGGCTTGACAAGAGAATTTGACAAGCGGAATAAAACTCTTTTCATCAAAACTTCTAGGGTATATATACCTGCCTTGTCGAGGGGTATGTGGGAGTTTGTTTTCGCTTGTTATGCACCAGTCAAGAAACCAGGACTGTATGTGGTATAGCTCTGTTCTCGACTTTTCACCACGCTCGTTGTATGATTAGCCTTAACTGCATCCACATCTGCTAGGTAGTGGAGCAGATTAGGCAAGTGCAGCGCTAAATGATGTATCTACCGGCATACTTTGCTTGGAATAGCTGGTGTTGATACAGGCTAGAACATGAACTTTATTTTCCTAACCGAAAAAGCGGTGTTGCCGACGGTGAAATCGCATCTACATGTCATATTGACTCTACACATCTGGCACTTCGGTTGTTGTTAATGGTAACCGGGAAGTTCCGGTAAGAAACAAAACCTCATATAGCTGGGACGTCACAAAATAAATGGCTTGATGAAAGTGCAATAACAAAAAGGTCATAAGAATCACAGCATGGTCACGTCCTTTAAGTGGACAGGCACAGTCCTGCCCCGGTCGGCGTGGTGTCGGGTTGTCCATTCGAGGATTCGTCGGGACACGGTCAAGCTAGACTACTTCCCCTGGTGTTGGGTAAAGATCGTTGAACTTGGAATATCGTCCTCATTTCGGGACGGACAAGGTGCGCTATGTTGTCGAGGAATGCACGTGGAAAGCAAGATCTAAGCATAGAAAGTGCCCGGATAGAATAAGCTCGCGTCAGTGTACAAGTTGGAGAGGATAGCGCCAGTGGTACCTTATATAACTTGTAACCACCAGATATAATGACTTCTATAAGATTCACTTTTGGATTCTCTATACTTACCCACCTAATGACAATAAAATGTAGGACTATTGCACCCCTGAGCCCCTCATCAGGATGTGTTGATTTGGTACTGCCAATGCCGGCTAAACTCCTCGAGTTGTGTGGGAGGTACAATGGGAGGTATAGTAGCAGAACGAGCATGAAAGCATCTACAAACAACGAATAGTCTTCATATTGATAGCTCATGAGCTGGCAGCTATCACGAAGAACATGAGCGCGGATCCAAAACGCCCCAAAGCTCCTCGCAGAGCATTGGCAATTGAGAAGGTACCAAAAGCCCTGAACCAGCCCACAAAGGGTTCCAGAAAGATCGGGCACGCGATCGTCATTCCCTCTCATTTCTCTACCGTGTGGGCCCTGGTGTTCCTTCAGTGCTTGGGAGAAGAACGTGTAAGTTGACACATATTTGGAATAAGATGCATGATTCTGACTGTGGTTCCAGCTTCGAGAAAAAACTGAAAGACAACAAGATACAGGTAATATTGGCTCGATTTCAAGGTACCTGCACAGAGTGGCTCAACACATGCGAAACGCTTCACTTTGAGGTTGCCGTCTTGATGCTGACAGCGCGGGTATTGTTGGGAGATCCCACTACGATACCCAAGTCATGAAGCATGTAGGAAACTATGTCGACCTCGATTCATATCGCGATAAAGGTGAATTTCAACCCAAGAACGCATCTTTGAGCAAGAGGAACCAGATGGAAAGCCATATCTCCCAAAAGCGAGGCGAGAAGAGACGGCGAGTAGGCGAACTTGTTCTAATGAATGTCGCATTCAAGGATTCGACAGTACTTAACTGGTTTGCAGAACATTCATCTGAACTGGGTAATGGCCATGGAGCAACCACTGCTGAATTCAACCAGTCAGCAATCCCGGTACTACATACGTCAACAAACCCTCCCCGGTGCGATAGACTCGAAGTTTCCGATACCCATTTGCTTCAGCCCAATCAAGCCTTGGATTCCCTCAACTATACTGATCCCGAATTAATCGACACTTATACTGGTTTACCCCATAAACCCTTTTTGAATCCACTCGACTATCCAAGCGCTGATATTGCTGGTTCCTTTCATCTGCTAGACTTCTCTCACAACCAATTTTTCCCTTCATTCAATCTACTAGATTATCCATTGCCCGATTTCTCTGGCTAAATTCTTTGTACTTTCGGGGAGAGGTTGAGACCACATATTTGAGTCGAGCTATTGTATTCATGAGCACTGGTACCATTCAAGATCACGATCTGCTTACTGGAGGTAACAGTAGATGTGGCAGTTGAGAAGTTGAAGTGGGATTGTAAATATTGTATCGGCCCAGATCCTGTGGCATAAGCACCTGTATCACATGACCTTATCTTCTCAGTCAGTAAATTTTTGAATACACATAACTTACGGTACAATAAAATCAACAAACACATTAACCTTTCCATATATTCTAGTATGTTATAACTCATCCCCGCCTCTTCTACATGTTCATCGTCAAACTTATATATCCACAATGGAGCAAACCCGGGGCATCAAAACACAGAAGAACTCTGGCAGTATTGTACACGCTCGTTACAGTTTAGTTACGCATGTTAATACAAGCAAGCGCTTGGCTCACCTTTACATTGTGGAAGCCCTGGTATCTACCAGCAACTCATTCATTCATCTATTCCTACTGATGCACAGATCTTCCGCCCTCCTGTCTTAATTATGATTACAATCACTGAAGACGTCCCTGGACATGTGCTAAAAGTTGGATGCATCCAGAAATTTGAATACTGGTAGTCAGGTCTCGCCAGTTAATATAAGCTTATGTTTGTCGAATGTCCCAGTATAGTGAAGCAAGGCAGTTGTGGAAACAGCCTGGGAAGTGGGAAGATGCCCATGTTTCCAGAGCATACAAATAGCCCTAAGCACGGGAGGACGCTAGCCCTAGACCTATATGATTCTAAGATTTTACCATCATACCTGGCATGAATACTGTCAGTCTTTCCTGCGTGCGATTACTGGCAAGGGCCAAATGTATCAACCGCATGTAACGCACATTGAATGAGTCGTGGATTTGCCACTAACATACTAATGAGTTTATATTAACTCGATTCAACCCCGGTTCCTTTCGGGAAGGTTTCAGCAGAAGTAACAAGCCGTGGCCCCATGGCAGAAAGCTTCACGTGATTCATCTTCAGCTACCTAAGTAGTAGTTGAAGCGCGATCGAAACAGCTTCCAGGATTGCGACCTGTCTGCACGTAGCTAAGGAGTCATCGGTGGGCATTAGGGAATGACCTCCCGGGAGTACTCCCGGGGCTAACCTTATGCACGTATTTCGCAAAGTCATCCGGGTCTACTTTGTCATCAACATGATCGACTGACACAACTATTTTCTTGAAAAGTTGATACGTTAAGAGCGCTATGCAGTCTTTTTATATCGCGTTCTTTAAACTTCCATCGTGGCGTTTTGCACTGTAACATAGTGACTGAGATACTGGCCCCCAATCAGAAGAGTCGATCGCGCAGGGCGACATGGATGAGATGTTTTCGTTCTTACAGGAATGAACACAAGCGGGTCGGACTCAATTAGGTCCGCATACAGAAGGAAAAGACACCTTCCCTGATATCTGAGGCCAGAGGAGTCGCGCAGGAAAACGCTATCTATTCTACCTTTGGAAGGAACCGCGTGGTCACCACCATACATCGTCACAGCAATACCACTAGGACGTAATGGCCATGAATTACCAACCGAACAGACAAACGACAGGCCATCCCAGCATGTGCCCTTAGCGGCTTTTGCATTTCTGAAATCACTCGCCAGCAGGGTATGTATCGATTCGTGTCCCATAAAGACCCAACTTCCTGCACGCTCGTCCAATGCTTCTGTTCCACGAACCACTTTCATTCCACCCCCGACTCCCAGCATGTTGAGTGCCGCAGAAGAAAGTACCTTTGGGTACCACGGACTTGAGATCAACGGGCCGCCGCAGGCGGATATTGTCAAGGGCCTGATCAAGGACTTCCTCGAAGCCGCGCGCTTTGACCGGAATACTCCGTCTTCGAAGGACAAGGAACTCGAAGCGGCCGTCTGGAAATACTTCAAGAGCCTAAACCTAGGCCAGAAGCTCGAAGCCGCCGTCCAGAACGTGCTCAAGCTCTCAACCACCCTCACGCATCAAGCCTACACCTCTCTCCCCTTCGAGAACCAGGTCCTCTGCGCCGTCCAGTTCCTGTACATGTTCCTCGTGGACGACGCGGCGCCCCTGTTCATGAACGAGCTGCGGTGCTTCTGCCAAAAGTAAACCCCCGCCCCTCTTGTGATCATAGCACAGTTAACCAACCGAGCGCAAGCTTCACCCTCAACAACGACCACAACCACCCCCTCCTCCGCCACTTCGACGCGCACCTGCGCTACCTGGCCCGCTACTACGGCCCCTACTGCCACTCCACGATCATCAAATCCCTCTTCGACTACGTCAACGGCCGCATTATCGAGCACGACATGGAGCAGTCGAACTTCCAGTTCTCGCCCGCCACCCGCCTGATGCCCATGTTCCTGCGCACGAAGGTCGGGGCGGCGGAGATCCTGGTCTCGCTGCTCTGGCCGCAGCACCGGTACCCGGAGGAAGCGTACCTCATCCGGTACTTCCCAGCGGTGCAAGAGCTGGTCCTGTTTACAGATTTTACAAATGACATCCTCTCGTACTACAAGGAGTTTGTTGTCCATCAGGAGAAAGGCAATTTTGTGGCGAACTTCGCCGAGGCGCATGGGATGTCCCATTTGGAGGTGCTCCGGCGGTTGGTGGATTATGCTCCGCGGGTGAGTCTTTTCTTAAACTTTTGTGGTGTGCCGTGTTCCTTGGCTCGAGCCAACCCAGGGCTCTGCATACCCGGGGCGCAATGAAATCTGACATGCGAGGTGGGGCATAGGTGATCGGGAATGTGTACGAGATCTTCGCGGGCAAGGATGAGCTCGTGCAGCCGGTGCGGGACTATGTGAATGGCTGGATTATGCTGTGCACGGCCCAGCGACGGTATCACTTGGTGGAGTTGTTTGAGGACGAGGGGTTTCTCCCACCCTACGATGATGACTCCTGAGTTGGGGGGCGTGCGGGTGCGCTGGGCATGTTTGCTCTGTCTTGGGAACGATGGATCTTTCGTATCCTGACGCAACTCATCGCGTGCTGATGGGCTGGGCGCTATCGGTCCTATGCAATTTCACCTGTCTGTCCAGTGTGATTTTTTGACTTTTCATAATATTTTTGGTTTGGTTGACTACTTCTCTTACAGCTTGCGTGTGATTTATGATGTATGCCTCCCGTAGGGAAGTATGTGTGAGATCATTCCCAAACTCTGCATAACCGTTGATGAAATTTCACCCCAGATGTTGTAACTCAATGGATGCTGCCTGATACAACCCGCAATACACCTCATCGCCAAATCGGGCTTCTGACCCGTATAAACATTCTTGTAAAGCTACATTACCACTCCCATAGATCAAGTAATCAGTTGGCTTTATCCCGGGACCAGGGAGATACTACCGAAGATCCAGAGAGTACTCGTCGCAAACTTGATTCGAATGTCGCGCGCGGTGATAAGGGACTGCTGCATACCACTGTAGGGTGAGCACGGACCTGTGACGGGTTCATACAGCGGATGAGCAGATCTGCCTTGGGTTTTACTTTATCGGGAAGAGATCCCGACTTGTTTGAGTTGAAAAAGGGAGAAAAAAAAGCAAATAAGGAACAAAATGTATCTTTCTAGCCAGTCATTCCTCACAATGCAAGGTCTTGTCACACTCGACAACATTGAGGGAGCTTTTTCTCAGACGCACGGGCACGTGCAGGCTGAGGGAGGCCTGCAGATCTTGATGCCACATGCGGGGTTCAGCCCCATCGGATCCAATCAGCCAGCAAGCCCCACACTCCCGGGGTCTGTGAAGAACAAAACATACTTTGACCCCGGCCCACTCCCGGGTCTGCAAAATCCTCTGGAATAAGCATAATTCACTCAAACACGAGTCTGCACGTGGTAAGTCCTCTTGTTGTATGCTATGTACTCTACACGAACCTGCATCTCCGTTGCAAGCTACCATGACATGACTCCTGCAAACCCTATCTCCCGCCAATACTCTAATTCCAACTAATTCGTAATCTGATGAGGAACCCTTCGACTAGAGCGTCTGCCACGCCTCCGAAGGAATAATAAATCCCGGTTGTTTACAGTCTTGAATAAGAAATCGGTAATTATTGGTGAGTCATCTCCCATGCGGTTGAATTCACAATTCTCTATGGATACCTATTGTGTAACGGCGCGGACAGTAAGCACCGTACATGTGCACGTGCACCCCCGGGATATAATAACAACAACCTGCACGGGGATGAAATCTCTGGGCTGGATTCGCTAATCTCCCATCAGAGCTTCTGCCTTGGACGAGAATTCAATTCCGTTCGCGATGTCCCGCTGGGGAAAGCCTTGAAGAACCCCGGGTGTCGAGAAATGTCCAATCCAACGCAGAAACCCATGGAGGCGTGTGATACGTCTCTGTTGTTCGGAGGTCTGCATCAAGATCAGGAATCATCCTCTGGAGTGAGATCAGACCTCTATGCGTGGCTGAAAAGACACTCGTTCGTATGGATGGGAACAGCAGTGGCCTTGATAGTGACTCGGCTAGGGTGGGATTAGCGCTCATGGCTGGGTGTGCACATGCGGGCTGCGGACCGTGGATATAGCTGTTTACGCAAGCTGAAAGTAGCATTATTTAAAGCGCATCTTACCTCTCCAAAAGGCGAATCCCCCTACTCCAAGTACAAATCCACATCTCCGAGAACACTTGTTCAAATCCACCACGCCATCCCTACCAGCCATCCACGATGACCGAACCCAACGCCCCGACCACCATGGTCGACGTGCCCGCGTCATACATCTCGTAGGCAAACCCAACCCCAGCCCCCTTGAAGTTGACAAAGCACGAACCCTAACCCCAACGCGACCCAGAAACCACCCATCGACCCCGCACCTAGCCAGCCTGAACGAATACCGCGACCTCTACCAAGAATCGCTGCGCGACCCCGATCACTTCTGGCGGGCGATGGCCACCTCCGCCCTGCACTGGGACCAGCCCTTCCACACGACCCGCCACGGATCCCTCGAGGCAGGCGACCACGCGTGGTTCCTCGGGGGCCGACTGAACGCCAGCTACAACTGCGTGGACCGCCACGCGCTCGCGACCCCGGACAAGCCCGCCCTCCTCTACGAGCCCGACACTCCGACCCGCAACCAGCCGCCGCAGCAGATCACCTACGCCGAGCTCCTGCGGGATGTCTGTCGCCTGGCGTGGGTGCTCCGGGACCTCGGGGTCCGCAAAGGCGAGATCGTGACCGTCTACATGCCCAACATCCCCGAGGCCGTGGTCGCCATGCTGGCGTGCGCGCGCATTGGCGCCGTGCACTCCGTCGTCTTTGCGGGGTTCTCGGCCCCCGCGCTGCGAGGCCGGCTGCAGGATGCGCGGTCGCGCGTGATTCTGACGGTGGACGAGGGCGTGCGCGGGGGCAAGGCCGTGCCGATGAAGCGGGTCGTCGAGGACGCGGTCATGGGTTTACGATACGGTGGTGGTGCAGGTGGTGGTGAGGAGGCCGACGTCAAGTGCAAGTGCCTCGTCCTCCGGAAGACCGGCAGCCCGGTGCCCTGGTGCCAGCGGATGGACGATGCTTGGTGGCACGAGGAGTGTGCGCGGTGGCCCGGCTACTACGCGCCCGAGGCGATGGGCGCCGAGGATCCGCTGTTCCTGCTGTATACCTCCGGGTCGACGGGGAAGCCCAAGGGCCTGCTGCACTCGACGGCGGGCTATCTGCTGGGGTGCGCGGTTTCCGGGAAGTATGTGCTGGATCTGCACCCGGCCGATACCATGTTCTGCGCTGGTGATGTCGGCTGGATCACCGGCCACAGCTACAGCGTCTACACGCCCCTGGTCCTGGGGCTCGCCACCGTGCTCTTCGACGGGACTCCGTCCTTCCCGACCTGTGGCCGGTATTGGGAGATCCTCGCGCGCACCCGGGCGACGCACTTCTACACGGCCCCGACGGCCCTGCGGTTGATCAAGAAGGGCACCGGCAACACGTACGCCGCGGCGGAGGCGCACGACCTGGAGCGTCTCAGGGTGGTGGCTTCCATTGGGGAGCCCTTGGCTGCCAAGGTATGGCAGTGGTGTCACGATACCCTTGGTGGGCAGGTGCATGTGCTGGATGTAAGTTGATCTCAACCCTTCTGGGTGCATGCATGCAGATGCATGAAGTATCAGTGCTAAACATGGATACAGACCTACTTCCAAACCGAAACAGGCTGCCATGCTTTCGCCCCTCTGGCCGGGGTTACCCCGACCAAGCCCGGCTACGTGGCGCTGCCGTTTCTCGGCTTCAATCCCATTCTGCTGGATCCGGTCTCCGGGGCCGAGATTCGCGAGAGTGAGACCGAGGGCTTGCTGGCGTTTGATCAACCGTGGCCTAGCATTGCCCGCACGGTATGGGGCGACCATGCCCGGTACATGAAGACTTACTTCGCGCAGCATAAGGGATACTTTGTGAGTTTAGCACCGCGCGCCGTGCTTACTTACCACCCACAGGCATAGGTTGGGACGTGAAACGCTGACGAGTAAGTCCAGACGACAGGAGATGCTGCCATTCGAGACGGGAACGGATACTTCAAAATCCTGGGCCGGGTGGACGATGTGGTCAATATATCGGGCCATCGACTCTCTACCGGCGAGATAGAATCCGCCCTCTTGAACCATGGTCTGTTCCAATTACCTCTGTTCCTATCCATTGCAGACAAAGGCAAACGTGCTAACCATGCTGGCTAGGCGCCTTTGCCGAAGTTGCCGTCGTGGGGTCTGGGGATGAGCTGACCGGACAAGCATTGGTCGTCTTCGCATGCCTAAAGAATGACCTAGAAGATCAGACGAATAAGTCGCAGCTCCGACAGTCGGCCCAGCAGCACATTGGGAAGTGGATCGGTCGCTTTGCCGTGCCTCGAAAGGTGTTTCTGGTCGATGATCTGCCCAAGACGCGATCCGGCAAGATCATGCGACGGATTCTGAGGAAGATCCTGGAGGGCGAAGAGAAAGAGTTTGGCGATCTGTCCACGGTAAATATTCCTTTCCCCTGGCAATGAAGAAACGCAACCGTCATGTCTGGACAGAACAAAGTGCTGACCACAACAATCTCCCGTGGGGCAGCTGCTACGTCCAGAGGTTGTGCGCCATCTTATCGTCGAAGTCGCGACACAACAGACTGCAGTGCACCCTCGCGAGACACTCAAGCCAGAAGCCCCAAAGGCCCCGACAAGTGATGTGCCGTATCCCTTCGCGAGCTACAAGATCACCTATCTCGATCACATCCTCCCCCCATGCCACATGTTCGGGTTCCTGACCTTCGACAACGCCTCCTCTGAAGCGATCGAGACCTTAAAACAGGCAACCGACCAGCTCTGCCAGCATTTTCCCTTCCTGACGGGGGTAGTTGTTCCATCGGGCCAGCCACATCCCAAGAACGAATGCGAGGTGCAGGCAGCTTCCGCGTCCTTCCTCACAGAATACCCAATGTTGCACGTCGAGGAGCATCCAGAGATGGACACGCTCCCCTTTGACGAATACATCCAGCAGCGATACCTTCCCATCCGATTCCTCACGCCGCCAGACGAGCCCATGCCGCTGGTACGTTTCCAAGCGAACGTGACGGCAACCCAAACGATCCTGTGCGTGGTCTACTACCACAAGGTCCTCGACAGCACCGCGGTGGCCGTGGTCCTGAAGGCGCTGGCCACGCTCTGCAACAACCCCAACGCCCCGCCGGACGTCCTGCCCAGCTCCCACGCCGCGGAGCAGCGTGCCCGAAACGACATCGCGGAGGCTATAGCCCAAGGCTCGGAGCCCGCAGCACCATTGAACTGGACCAGAACCCCGCTGGCAGTGGATCTCATCCCGCCACCACCCGAGAAAGTCCCGGTAAGTCGACACTTCACGCTGAGCGCCGAGCGCATCACCCAGCTCAAGGACGCATGCAACCACGCCCTCGCCTCCACCACCACCGCCCTCAGCACCAACGACATAATCACAGCCATCATCGGCCTCAGCGGCACCAAGGCCCGCCTCGAAACCGTCCCGGACGCGATCCCCCCGAACCCAAAGGTGATCATCGCCGCCAACGTACGCAAACACTGCCACCTCCCGGCCACATACATGGGCAACGCCCTCGCCGCCGTGGAGACATCCTACCAGCTCAGCGGTAGCCCAACCCCACTAGACCCGGACGCTGAAGCCGCGTTATTTGGTCTGCTGCCAACCGTCGACCGAACCGCCCTCACGCAGCTGCTGCGCATCGCCGTCGCACTACGGCGGGAGATCGGTCGACTGTCCGAACCCTACATGAAGGGGGTGTGTCGGACCATCGCCGAGACCGACGACCGCGCCACTGTCTTCCCGGGGTATGGCAGCGGCATCATCGTCTCCAGTCTGCGGTGGATGGACTTCTATCTGGACTTTGGGGTGCTCGGCCGCGTCCGGCGGTATGATATCCCCGAGACTAAGGTTAAAGGCGTGTGCTGGGTGTTGCCGGCGAGGGATTTGGGTGGGGATGTCGCGGCGCAGCCGTATGAGTTGAGGTTCGTGTTGGAGCGGGCGGCGATGGAACGGCTGCGGGCGGATGCGCTGTGGCGGTGGTTGCTGGTGGAGGATGAATAGCGTGCGTTGGATTGAGGTGATTGAGAAATGTAGAACTAGGGCAAAGAGAAGATCCAAGCCGCATGGAATGAGCAATCCGTAACGACAGGCTTACCTTCCTGGCGTCCAAGACGTCGACCCTGCGGCGTAGGAATTCCCCTCACACGTCCTTTCAAGATAGATGTCCCAGCCCAAACTGAAAACAAAAAGGCTTCAAATCACGATTCAAATACTAAGTCCACCATGTCCAAAGCACAAGCACGATTCTCACAGTTCTACCTCTGTAGTTCACGGGAGTCGTTGCCGAGACCGTCCTTTTCCGTTGAGCAGCAATATCTAAAACCCTGGCCCATCTCAGCAGCACAGCCGCAGCAACAACCGGCAAGACACTAACCAACTCTCCCAATCCCGCAAACTCCGGCGAGATCCGCGCATTCACGAATGCCCCCGTGCCCCGCAAAACGGCGAACAGGTTATACACGAAGCTCCACCCCGAAATTGAATTGGGTCCTGCGCACGGCCTTCTCGCTGATACGGATCATGGTCAGCACGCTGAGCAGACTGGGACGCATGAGCACCACATCTGCCGCAGAGGTGGTGGGCCAGCCAGGGCTTGGATGTAGGCTTGCTTGTCGGCTGGCATGCAGAGCTTTCGGACCCCCTCACTTGGCAAGGTTGTGGCTTGGGGGGGCAATGACTTTGGAAAGGAGGGGAAAGAGATGAGAATGAAAAAAAAAAAAAAAAAAAAAAAAAGAAAAGAAAAGAAAAGAAAAGACATCCAATACTGAATAGAAAGCAGGTTTCTATATGGTGGTGGGACAGCTGAAATAACGATTCTTCAGGGCTGACATGCTCATCGACCAAGACCTCATTCGATGCCCAAGAGCTCATCGCCTTAGGACTCGCTCGGACAGGATAAACAGTAGACACTAACGTGATCCGTAGGACAAAGAACATCTCGCCCCAACCCTCTCATGCACGCAACAATCCCATTCTTTCGATTCGGATACTCTTTCCACTCTTCAAATATTAATAGAATACGCCTAATTTACCAGAGGGAATCGAACCCACTCGCCCGTCCCACGCCCCAAAAGCTTTCAACAGAAAAGAGACGCCCCTCTCCCCTCCCCAGAGCCCCATGATTGCCCCCCAAAGCCACCTTCAAACCCCCCTGGAATCAATACCCCGTCGGCCGCACCGCAATATCCTTATACGCATCCCGTCCATCCAGCAACGTATCCGTGATATTCCCCGCCCACACCGCCGCCGCATCCTTGACCGAACCCGCCGGGATGCGGGCCACCACGCTGCCGGTGTAGCTCAGCGCGGCGGTGTGCTCCTCCTGCAGCTGGGAGTAGATGTACCAGCCGCCGTCGCTGGAGGCGGCGGTGGCGGCGATCGCGGCGTGGATGCCAATGTAGTCTGCCACCACGACGGATATCTGCGCGGCGAGGGTCGCGAGGGGTGGTAGGAGTGCCGCGGCCTCGGTGGCATTGAGGAAGTCTGGCTGGATAGTCTTGGTCTCGGCCAGGAAGGCATTGATGAGCGTCGCGGCGCCCGCGCTGATGTTGGAGATGTCGTCGCCGCCGGGGTAGGTCAGGATTTGGGCGTCGAGGACGGTGGCGGCGGCGGTGATGGTGGCTAGGCCCGTGGTGAAGGGGGTGGTGTCGCGGGGTTGGAGGTGGGGGGTTGCGGTGGTGAGGGTGCTGAGAGTTAGGGTGCTGAGGGTGAAAAGGTGGGGGGTGGGGAGTTTCATGGTGGACAATTTGTGGGTCTTCGTTGTTTAATTATTGGTAGATGTAAGGTCTGTAATGGGTTGATGGAAGAAGAAACCGTTAGGAATCGAGATTGGGAGATACAGGTGGGGTTGTTCCTGCTTTTAAAATGCATGCATGCTGCTAGCCTCTGTCTGCCCACTTCCCACTTCCCCTCGCAGGATCATGGGGAAGGCTGAAGAACATGCAACCCTGAGCATGGCATGCAGTCTCTTGGTAAGCCTCATTGGTGCAGAATCTGGACTGCATCTACTTTAAATCAAAAAGATCTAGACCATCCGAGCTCACCAATAGGACTGTTCAATGGTGGCGAGACCATGTATCTAAATCCAGTGATGAGGGGGAAACCCTGAAGGATTTGGCCGCTAGTCCTAGAAAGCCAAACCCGGTTAGGGCTGGAGATTCGCCCTTACGCCTGCATGTGTCGGCCAGGACTCGTGGCTGTAGGAGGGGCAATGGTGAAAACTATACTATGAGCAAGAATAATTGGAAAAATTACCCTATGATTTAGCTTACCCTTCTCTCTTCGTTCTGGCTGCAGAGGGGAGTTCATAATATATCCGGGGCGGCTGATCAGGCAATGCACCAACTGGCGAACAACTGCAGTCCTCGTCCTTTTAGGACAGTGATTATTTACAATTTCAGATTGCTAATTTTCCCTGAATGTTTTTCTTTCATTCTTTCATTTTAAACGCTCGCTGTTGAAGAACGTGACCTTGGTGGGAGAGCGGGAGAAGTGTGCGCGAAGAAGGGAGCGGGGATTTGCAGAGCTGTTTATAGTAGCCTTGTCTAGGTTTCAAGTGCGATACGGCGGCTGGGATCCATAGCCTTAGCCTAGTAAGTACTTAAGTAGCTCCTCTTGCCTAGTTTTGAGTTCTTGAAACTTTCTACTCTCTTCACCGAGCCATGACAGGGATCAAGCTACCGGCAGCTCTCGGGATTCGAAGCCCTAAGCCGCATCAACCTATGAATGTTGGCCCGGTGGCATTTCTTCATGATGAAGACATGGTGAATACGATCTGTTCCACTCCTGCGCAGGGTGCTCAGCAGGGAGTCAAGCCGTGAAACAGGTTGGCAAGCAGAGGTTTCGCAATTGCTGTACCAATCCTCGACCAGTAGTTCTCGTCATCGACCATATGTCGCTCTAAGCGGATACGCGGCGAACAGTCAGGCAGTTGTCAGATTACTCATTTCCGCCAGCCAATCCCGCGCCCTAGTACGGTGGGATACTCGTGCCAATTTGCAATAACCCCAATTCTGCCGACATTTAGAAGCCTTACCAACCACCTTTCTGAGTGCCTCGGATACTAAGGCCCTTGTTTTGCCTGGATCTAAGTACCCGCCTCTTTTAGTACTCTCGCCTTTTTAAAAAACACCCGACTTTTTGTAAGGCCACATAACAACAAGTTACATTAGGATTGTTAGGGATATTGGGGTCTTGGGATATTATAGGCCGAAGGTATCGCTACATTACGGTTTTTTTAATTAAGAAATCTTGTATATAACCGTAGGAAGCGAGGTGATCATACTGACATCTAGCTATCGAGTGCAATTAATGAATTCTTTATGCTCTTGCTTAGCACCCGTGCCTTGTTGTTCAAACACGACTTATGAGATCTATAACTTGGTCTGATCCGGTAAACTAATTTATAAGACCTCCTAGAATGGCACCCCGCTAATGATACGTCTATAATCTTCCATCCGAACACTAAACCCTAGATTATTGCCACACACAGTCATAGATGCCAACAGTGAGAGACCTTCTTTGTAAGGCAGACCCACTCAGTCCCCTCACACCAAGGGCTCTTCATAAAACCCCTTCTCCCGGAGCACTTGACTCGGATGACAGACATTCAACGCCTAACACCCCAATAACATCAGCATCGCATCAAAAACATAGATCAACACTTCATGACCCTGCAAGCTCCCCTGACTCCCTTGTATATACTCCGCCACGCGGTAGATCGACCGCACCATGATGAGCGCACTGACCGCATACAAAACCATCAACAGTCGTTCCCAGGGCACCGCCAGCCCAATCGACTTCTCCGTCGGGCGGTCGCGGATCCGCCGATGGAAGACGCCAGAGACCGCCATGAAGACCCCGAAAAAGATGAGGTGTGTCCCAGTCCGGTGACGAGGAAACCGATGGTGAAGATCACGGCGGCCGCATAGGACGGGTCATAGCGGTATAACACGAATGAATCAGACATGTTGAAGCGGACGGAAGAGGGTCGGTGGGAGTAGGAAAGAATGCGTTGAGAACTGCATCGTCAGAGCCTGCGATCAAGGACATGGTACTTATACAGTGGTTAATGTGGTTGGTGAAGTAGTGCCGCGACATTGAGTATCAATGAACTAGCCAGGTTAGTTAGTACGGTAGCTATCACCAATGGTTTTTTCTATCCACGATCCATGATTAACTTGAAGAGGCTGCGGCTGCCTATTATTGTAGTGGACCCGTCACTACGGTACACCATTCCTGATTCGGAAAGGTGTACGATGCTCAGGGCGTTTAAAGCTTTTTTCAGTTTGCGAGGATCCACTGCCAGAGCAGAGCTTCTAACTTAGCTGCTTTCTCTCTCTCTCCGAAACGTAACAAGCACAACCAAAAATATATCGATCCGTATCCAGTATAGTGTACGCAGCATCATGGACGGTGCGCACAAGCATTACAGGTCCTGTACCCAACATCAGCCTATGGGTTGAGGAAAGAGTTGATAAAGCGATTTGTGCATGGGTAGATATGGAAATACAAATATGGACTGCGAGAGCCTCTGGAGCAGGGGCGTCGAGCACTGGCTCAGTAACAGCCATCATTCCTCAAATAGTTATAAAATGGAGGTTGAGTCCTGTTGAGTCGGAATACTCAAAAGTCGACACAGCCTTCTCCACATCCTCCCAATGGCTCTCACCAACCTGGCTATTATCGTGATCGTGGTTGTTTGCTGCTTGGCGGTTACGGGCACTTCAAAACCTCGAGGCTACCCTGAGGCCAGCATTTCATGCATGAACCTGAACGGTCGGACAACCCCATTTCGGAGATTCTCACCACTTGGAGGCGGACTAATAGAACTTACGAACAGGACACAATCGAACGTCTCCCATTCTCACTCCAAAGTCTTCTCTTATGCTGTACTTCTGCTTCAATGCGAGCTTGAAGAGGAGGGGGGGGGGTGTATTGACATAAGGCCGAAAAGAGAGACAGCCATGGGGGAATCTGAAAAGCAGGATCAAGGGCTGGAAGCCTAGATTGCGGGCAGCGGGCACTAGACTACACTACCTAGACTCAACTCACGTACTGCATAGTATTTGTATTTAATAAAGCCCGTGCCCGACTCGTCACTTCAGCTCTCTCCCCCGATTTTCCGGCACAGCCGCCTACCATCAGATTCGTTGTCTACCATTCCTTCCGGAATATACTCTGAATTCTATCTTAGTTTCTTTCTTCTTGATCTCCATTTTATCTCAATTTGAATCCCGTCAATCTCCTCTTCTGCCTCACTATCCGTGCGTTTGTCTCCAATGCCCTCGCGTCGCGCCCATAGTAAATCCCGACATGGCTGTCTGCAATGCAAGCAGCGACGAGTGAAGGTACGGTCCAATGAACTCGAAGTCTACAGTGTTAATATCCCACTCGCTCCATTGGTGCGATGAGCAACTACCAATTTGCTTGCGATGCAAAGCCAAAGATCTACCCTGTAGTTATCAAGCAATGTCCACAGCCTCTTCCTCCACGCCTCCCGATACAGGAACAGCGAGCACAGCCGCGACCTCGCCGAAGACGACCATCCCCACCCAACCACCACTCCCCTGCCAGGCCGAGCCTGCTCTCAACTCGCAAGATCTCGAGCTAATGGTGCAATGGTGCACACAAACATATGTCACGCTCTCTCGAAACCACGCGGTGGAATGGATCTGGAAATCCGTCATTCCCCGGAGGGCGGTCCACGATCCCGCGCTGATGCACGGCATCCTCGCCCTCTCCGCACTGCACCTGGCATTCCTCCACCCCCACCCCCAGCGCAAGGAATACCTCGACACCGCGCAGTGGCATCACCACAAATCCATCTCCGGCGTCTGCAATATCGAGGCCCTCAGCGAGGCCAACGCTAGCGCAGCCTACGCCCTCTCTAACATCATCATCATCATCTTCTTCACCTTTGCGCTACCTCTATTCGGCGGTAGCGGCAGCGGCGGAGGAGAAGGGCAGCCCTCAACCCCGTACGACGAATTACTTCGGATCTTCCACATGAGCCGTGCCTGGCTGAGGATCTTAGTTGCCGTCTCCGAATGGGTGCAAGCAAGCGACCTAGCGATCCTCACCACGGCCGCCCCCCGGTCGGGCAATCGAGCACCCATACTCGTGCGTCCACGGTGCCAGCGTTCCTGGACGCAGCCCTCCGAGACCTGACCCTGCTGAATGGACGCTTGGGGAAGGATAATTCGCATCATCCCAGCGAAGTGTATGGGCCAGTCATCCGCCAACTCCGGGTGGCATTTGAAAGTACCTCCAGCGAGAGTAAGGATGGGATCATCACAGCGCTATTCTGGTGGATCTTTGGTCTTTCATCAGAGTTCTTGGATCTTCTGGGCGAGAGGGAGCCCTTTGCGATGGTGATTCTGGCCTTTTTCTGTACATTAATGCACCGCCTCCGCGGGCAGTGGTGGATGGATAACTGGGCGGAGAAGGTGGCCCGGGATATTCGTGGATACTTGGATCCCTCGCTAGCGAGCTTTGTTCCTTGAGGGCTCTGTTTTGAAGACCGATGATGAGTTTGACTAGGCACCATTCTCATGATGGGTCCTGAAATTGAGAGCTGTGCAGGATTGATTATGCTTCGGTAATAACGGGGCGTATCACCGATATCGCCGACCTGCCTCAGGCACCAATTCAGCCCTTCACACCACTTCGGACGCCAAATCCCGAGCTTGGATCTTCCCACCGAACAACCACCCACCAGACCCGAACAGGTGAATTCTCTCTGACTCGGGGTCCTTGTCACTTGATTTGGCCAGGATCGAATAAACATGTCCAAAGAACCGGAAAGCAAAGCTTTGACCACCGCCACCATGCCTCCGGATAGCTGGCTTGGCATACTGGAGCCATCGCTAAGACGCAGATTACAAAACCGACTTAACCAGCGTGCGCGACGTAAGTACTCGCTGACCCGTGGACAGGAGTCCCGTTGAGATATTCTAGGCTTACCAAACAGGCAGGGCGCCGTATTCGAGAGTCTCGGTCAGGCAGCAGCGCTGATGAACAACCGCCAACGCTTGCCGTTCGACCGGCCGATCTCGTGCAGTTACTCCTGGGCATAACACAGGACTTGCCCATTCTAGGTCCAGACTCCCGAAACACTGCGCAGAAGCTGCAGCAACTGGAGATGGCAGCCGTGGCTCTGGCTTCTGCTGCTTGTGGCTCTCCGGTTGAAAGCCTGCGCCTTGGAGTCACGCGGCTCAATATGCTGCGAGTGATGCATACCAACCTCACGGTTCTAGGCTATGGCGAGCAAGACACGCATGACGATGCTCCATCGGTATTCACACTACAAGGGCCTGCTTCTCCATCGAGTCAAGCCTACCCACAGAGGCAGCTCCCACCAGCACTGAAGCCAACGGCCATTCAGCGCCGCGTGCCGCATCATCCATGGCTGGACCTGTTTCCTTTCCCAAACCTGCGAGACGCCCTAATTCTTGCGCAGGACTGCATTGATGAGGATCAACTGTGCCAGAATATGTGCGGTCGTGGTCTGGAGACGACGGGGATTTTGGTGTGGACGGAGCCGTGGGATCCCACAGGGTGGGAGGTCACCGAGGCCTTTCTGTCGGTATGGGCTTGGACGGTTCGTGATTGCCATGACCTCCTCCGTTCAACCAATCTGTGGAGATCCCGCCGTGGAGAGAAACGTCTGCACTTTCCAGGGGCGGAAGGTAGCAACTGACACTCTCCAGTACGCGGATTGCGCCCGAACTAGGATATGAATACTTCTTTTCGCGGGTTGTTCTCCCGCACGAGATTACTTACGTGCTACAGAGATGCACAGCCGGCTTCGCGCTCGCGATACGAACTGAACACAGACTTCAGCTCTGCTCAACGAATCTAGGTATACAGGCCAGAAGCAGCTTACGAATATGCTCCCGCAGTTGAAAGCCGCCTTTTTACAGCCCTCTAATAATACTGAAAAGGACCATCCCATCAAACTCTAGCCATTCTCGGACGTCACAATCTTTTTAGCGAAGGTTTTCAACTAAATGTCATGAAGGATGGAGATCTTTTGCTGGAATCACAATTTGAGGACTTCAGCGTGAATTTAAGAACCCTACGAGACGCACCGATTACTCGAACAAGCTCCACAATCGACAGTCGGATCACACACATTATGGCTCCTCGTACTCTCGACAATCTCCACTCGAGCTCTTCTGGCTCATGACCAAGTACCAGGATATCGATTCTCTTAGTGCTTTACGGTGCGTGTCCAAGGCACTCAAAGCCAAGACCAAGACAGCCTAGCTATGTAGCCGCGTGCACCCGCTTTCCATCCATATCGACCCGGAGGATGAAGGATGCGTGCGCATCCGCCCCGAGAAACCGTTCCTCGCCCCTCGCCCCCTGCCTCGGCAGTATCAGGCCCTGCTAGGCGCGCGGCAGCTGATCCTCGAAACCTACGAGTGCATCCAGCAGTTCCCGAGTGCCTCCGAAGCCGCTCTGATCACGCTGTGCCGGATCCTGAGCGACAATGCCGCCCTGCAACCGCTCGCGCTTCAGCGCCTAACCCTCTGCGCGCCGGATTCCCGCGCTCAGTGGCTCGGCTACCTCGACAGTCGCCTGAGCGTTCGGATGAATCCATTTTCTTTTGCGGGGCTCCCCGACAAGTTCTCCGCTCACTGGGACCACCTCACGCAGCTGATCATCTACATGCCTGGCGCGGAGGACGCCGCGGCGATGCTGAATGACTTGGTGATTGGTTGCATCCTGCCGCATGCGCGCCGGCTCGAGGATTTTCGGTATTTCCCCGGACCTCGCTTCAACGAGAGTCGCATGGTCCGGCAACTAGCGCGCCTAGACCCAACGAGCACCGCTGAAGCGACTGGAGGTCAAAATCAACATCTGCGTGAATTGCGACGTCATCCCCTGCCTGCTGCAGGCCTACGGGCGCACGCTGGAGACGGTCACAGTTAACAACCCGTTCATTTGGGACTCTCGGCCCGATGATCCCCGTCTCCTCCAGCTTAAAGCCGCCTGTCCGGCCCTGGTGCAGCGGCTCGGGCGTGACTTCCACGGCCGAGTGATGTGGAACGTGCTGTCTGGCCCGGCGGAGCTCTATGAGCAGCGGCCGCGGGACGATGATGGTTCGCTTGAATGGGTCCGGGTGGATGGCTCGCCCGAGTGGCAGAACGTGATCAGGCATGTTACACCACTGTGATTGTGCGATCCTTCCCCTGTAACAACAGGTGTGTAGTTGTGAACGGCGGGTATCCTTCCGCGCGCATCGGCCTGAGACCCAGCGAGACATTGTTTCAACTGCTTTTTCCTTTTACCTAGACTCAATTTCAAGGAATATTCTACCAATACAGATTTATCACCACAACGCGACTATATCCCTCACCCTCACCCTACTCTTCGTATTGCATAGCCCTGTGCTCCCATGTGATGACCTCGACTGCGTTTCCGTTGACATGACAAGCATCGTAGTACAGAAACCCCACTTTCAAGATACGCTCTACGCTTCAAATTACAGCCTTCGATGGGGAGAGAGGACCCTTATGTGCGTATCTTTACCATCAATAGGTACTGTACAGTACTTCCTACCCCTACTTTACAAGGGTAACAAAAACAAACCCGTTTTTGCTCTTACTGCAAGGTGGTAGACCAGCCCATGCCGAGTCTTCGGACGCACGCACCGGCCTATTAACGGCCCGGCCCCCGTCGACTTGAGCTCGAGCCCTAAGATCAGCTCGACCCTCTGGCCCCGCTGAGTCGCCGACGCTCCCCCGCTACTGCTTCCCGCCTAGACCCTTCCTGTCTAAGTTCTGGTATCATCCCACCCCCCCCCCCCCCCACAGCGTATCTATATTTGTCGTAGGCAACTAGCCATCGATCATCACATCAATGCGCCCACCTGAGCATACATTCACTAAATACCAGTAAGAGGGAATCGAACAGACCCCAAACACAGTCAACCCACAAACAACAAAGACAACAACAACAACCACCACCACCACGTAAACAAAATAATCAAAGATACACATTGATCACCATTACATAAATTGACAGATAGATCACAACAAAAAGGATTATTATCACCACCGGAAGACGCACGGCTCCACTCAATCCATTCGAGAATCCAAGCTCTCCCTCCTTTGTCTCTTCTACACAACCCCAGCGTGCTCTCGTATCTTACATCCACCAGGAACAAAGAAAATGTCAAGAATACAAAGAAGTCACATTCACAAAGGAGAAATGACACACCCTTGTCTTTCAAGGCCACAATGCATCTGGCGAATGCCTCCTCTCCATTCCATCCCCGATCACGCAGTACTCGAAGCCGCAACGGCCACGGCAGTAGACGACGCGACGTACTCGCAGGCGCTGGCCTCGTCAAAGACGGATGCAAGGGAGATCAACGAGGAGTAGTACGCGTAGATGGCGGTGTCGATGGAGGCGGAGGAGGAGGGGATGGCCGAGGAGGAGGTGATGGACAGGTGGGCGGAGGAGAAAGTGGTTGCTGGGGTTATGGTTGATCTGGAGGAGGTGAGGGTGTGTGCTGCACTCCCGGAAGGGGCGACGGTGTGTGTGGTGGTTGTTCCGGGCTGGACGGTGGCGGAGAAGGCCGAGTGCAGGTTGGTGTCGGTGGTGTGTGTGGTGACGCTGGTAGAGGGGTCGGGCTTGGTGGTTGTTGACTTGATTGCGGTCGAGGTGGTGGGTTTGGTGGTGGTTGAGGATGTTAGGGCTGTGGTGCTGGTGGATGTTGATGAGGTTGTGGACGAGGTTACATCATTGGTCGAAGAGGTGGTAGGCTGAACCGTAGTGGTGGAAGTCGTAGTTGAAGTAGTGGTAGCGGTAGAAGCAGCAGTGGTGGTTGTAGTTGTGGTTGTCAATGCATGGGTGGTGGTCGTCGTCGTCGTCTTGGTTGTGGTGGCAGCGACTTGCTTGGTGGTGGTCGTCTTTTTGGTTGACTTCCCTCCAAGCCCGAACAAGGCGGAGGCCAGCTGGACCACAAGTAGCAGAGCGACGAGGAACCTCATGATGAAACAATTGAGAAGCTAAAGAGTGACTGGAACGAGTGACTAGAGGCGAGGACGAGAATGCTGCTGAATCGACCAAGACATCGACCGGGAGGAGGTCTTATATCTTTCCCACTCGTCTGATACCATTCCACTGTCTACACTTTTCTTTCCTAGTTCATGCTCAATTCCAATTGCGTAAATTGTAGCCCCCAAAGAAAAGAAGTCGAAGCGAGGTACTCGACTAATCGAGGGTCCTGAGTGTACCTGCGTGGGGGCTCTCGAGCCCGTCAGCACGGGTATGTATGGATGACATCGATTCTTCGTATCCGGCTTGGCCCCCACCACGGAGAGCCGAATTTAGACTCAACGATTTTCCGTGATCCTGAAGGTGAAGAATCGCCCCGACTTGGAATCAACTCAATAAGCGAGTTCACGCATGGCGTGATATGCAGGGTCGTGACTGAAACAGGGTCCCACAAGCCAGCAAAGGTGCCAGCGGTTCTCGACTCGACTTGCCCTAACTGCCACAGGAACACGGGAAACGTGCCCTGAAAGGGATTCAACCCCTCAGATAGAGTGATCCTGTTCCTGGCCCTGTCGGTCTATCTCGTAGCAACTGGAACGAAGGATGTATCCCGCCCCAACTTGATGTACCCGAGGTGGTGATTATATCGCATTCCGGGGGCCATTGTGATACATGCTTTGTGAATAGTGATCAACGTCCTAAAGCCCACGATGCAGGTGCTATAAAGTCCAGGGACGAAGCGACTCCGTGCCTCGAAAGCAAGCCTGAGCTCCCGTCCTCACTCATACACTCATTTGTTGTTTGCAACCACATATCAGTCACTCGTTTTGAGTCCTAACACTGACAAGCATTATCTTCGACTGCCACCACACTCATTTACCCCGTGTTTCAAGCATCATCCCCACGATGCGATTCATCACTGTCCGCTCCACCCCTCTGCTAGCCCTGGCGCTGGCCACCCTCCTCTTCCTCCTCCAGCTCACCCACGCCCTCCCCGTAACCACCACCGAACTCATCCCCGTCCACCCAGAGAACGCCCTCGCCAGAAGAGGCTGCATCCCCAGCAAGCCCAGCAAGCCCACGAGCCCCGCCAGGACCACCACCTTCACCTACAGCGTCGACAACATCAAGGAAGCGATCAACAAGGTCGGGCGCTTCGACATGGATACCAACACGTGCCTCTTCTACCTCGGACTCGGAGGCGCCACGGGTCAGAAAAGGGCCCTGGACTGGTGGAAGGACAACAGGCCCGCGAGCGCGTCCAGCCAGGCGGGCGTTGTCTGGGGCAATCTGCTGGCCGACTCCTACGCCAACGCGGTGTGGAACGCCAACTACGACCAGAAGCTGCCGGACCCGGCCAACCGGGGGCAGGAGGTTGACGCGGGGCTGGTGTGGGGCGGCTTGGTGTCCCAGGCGTTGGGCGAGGCCTGCAGCGGCACCGTGTACTTCTTCACGCCCGAGAGCAACGACGGAACCGACCCCGTCACGAACGTGTGGAACGTGTACGAGCATCCCGCGCTGACCCGCAACGCCAAGGTGCAGCAGATCATCAAGGTCGACCCCGACACCAGTAGCCAGGTGGTGATCTGGACCAAGGGAGATGCCCCGTATGGGCCCGTGCCGCCGGGAACGGGCTATTCGCAGATGAAGACCTTGGATAAGGCCTTGTATCCTGTTCTACCCTGAGGTCTGGTGATGGGATGAGAGGAGCCGGAGAAAGGCGGGATGAATAAGATGGTAGAAGGAGAGTTCCGACTGGGGAAGGAGGTTCTGTCAATGTTTCTCGATATAGTAATCATTATGTATCTGTAGTTGGCAATTGAGGAGGCCTTCTGGGACCAGCATACCGTGTATCTGTCTGATCACCTTGTCCTTTTTTCACGTAAGCCAAGCTATTTACTAGCACCTCTCACACTGCAAATCAATACTTTCCACGGTTGGCGGCACAAAATCCTTGAAAGTCAGGCCCAGACCCTGGGAGTACCGGAAGTGCAGCCTAATAGTTCTCAACTGAGCCAACCGCGGCAGCAGTTTTGTCAACTCGACGGCCACCTCATCCGTCACCTGGCCGTCGCTCCAGATCTCCAGTTTCACCAAGGAGCTCGCATGCGTATGTAGCAGCGCGCTGATCATCGCTGCCGTCAAGAAGTGGGTCTCGAAGTGTTGATCATATGTGCTCGCGATCGTGAACCCTTGCAGCGGATGCATCTGGCGCACCACCGCCGGCGTCACGGCGACAAGCGGCGCGAGGCGGGACACATCCCGGTCGACCACGCGGTTCAGCAGCGTATTGATTTCGTTTCGCAGCGTTAAGCTTCGGAGGTGTTTGAGGTCCCGAAATATGGCGATGGTGTTCGTTTCCTGGTCGACGTTGTCGTTGGTTTTATTGCTGTCCGAGGCCGCGGCATAGCCTGATATTGTCAGGTGATGCAGCTCGGCGGCGAACAGACGGAGGAAGTCCAGCGGAATGAAGTCGATATCCACCTCCAATCTCTGAATTTGCGGCATGCAGGTCCCCAGAGTAGTCAGTAGCAGACGCTGGTCGGCGAGGAATTGAGGGGAGCTGGGGCGCGCGACGTTTTGTATGATGAGGATTCCAAAATCGCGGACCCCACTCAGCGCAGCCAGTGCTTCTGCGATCACAAACGGGGGCAGAGGACCCACGGGAGTAGGGAAGCGGGTTGAAGCCGTTGAGAAAATGCTTTGGTACATCTCTTGCCACGGTGTTGATGGCTTCGGCGCTCGCGCGGCGAACAACGAGCTGCCTACGATGCAATTGATGTGGATCGATCGCACCAAAGGTAACAGGTGCGCCGGGCTCTGCTGAACCCATGTTATGAATTGTTCGAGCCTCTCGAAGAAGCGTCTCTTGCGCAGCACTACGGAGAGTGCCTCCTCTCGCACTTCCCGGCAGACGCGGAGAAGGCTGTGCGGGGGGACGGTGCGGTTCAATGACAGATCATAGATCTGCAGTCGCACTTCCACCGGAAGACGAAGAAAGGAGGGGTAGGATATCTTGGTGGATGCATTCATCGTGAGGCAATGCTTCTGTCTAGAGTTGGATGATTCTGATGTGCAAAGATGTTGAAGAAAGCGAATCGACGAAGTGTGAGAGGAAAGGGAGAAGGTAAGGTTTGGTGGGGGCGGAAATCTACTAGCCTGAGAATCACAACCTCCTCTTTTAGTCCTTATCCCATAACACCCATTTCATACAAGGCCGACATTACTATAACTGTAAAGTACTCAACAAACAATGTAGCATTGTTCCAGCTGCCTCGGTCTGATAGAAGTAAGGAGAATATGTTTCAGCATCAGAATGTGAAGTCAATTAGTGAATGATATCAAGAACACCTGTCTTTAGAATTCCAAGACTGCACTGCACTTTGCACTTTGCACAGGACATATGTAGCATTTTCTTCCAATTAACGCGGTCCTTTGACCTAATGCTCACTAACCTTTACTCTTCCGGCGCACAAGACTTAACAACAAAAACCACAACTCGGACAGCCCCTACTACACGCATAGATCGTGCCAGTGCCACATTTCTGGTACCGATTGCAGATATAGCAAGCCCCAACCCCACTGTTCTTGGCCGTCAAGCACCATTCGCCGTTGTTCCTGCAGACCTTCCAGCAGTATCCTTTCGAGCACCCGTACGGCGCATCCTTGTAGCAGGTCTGTAGCTCGGAAGTGTTGGGCATCTTGGGCTCTGAACGTCCTTCCAATGCAGCAGTATTGCCTTTCAGGGCCTGGACATCCACAGGATCAAGAGGTACCAGCGATGCACCCTCAATGTCTCTATTCCGGCCCAGCGGATGGTCTCTGCACCTGCGGACGTCGCTGGGATGGACGCCGTCAGGGAGATCCGCGGTGGGGACGACCATGACGCCTAGATCGCCGCATTCGGTGACGGGCCATTGTTGCCCATCGGGATTGGGGAGATGGTTAGAGCGGAGGTGAGGGTCACTAGTAAGGTGAGCAAGGTAGCTGTGAGCTTCATGGTGCAGCAGGGTCTTTGAGGGTGTAGATGCCGGTGGGACTTCGAGGGAACTGGGCAGAGAAAAAGACGGCATTCACTGCACTGGTCAAAGATGAAAGTTCAGGAGCAGTGTTTGGCGTATGCAAGAGCAATGGAAGTATAATTGTCTTTGGGCTAAACCAGTGCTCATACCTAATAGACTGATTAAAATTGAAGAGGATAGTACTCGACTTTATACCTTATCTTGCATAAAGGAAGGAATACGAGCTCTAACCGTTATCGGCCGTTAGTCACACAGCCAACAAGCCATGCCATGGGCTTCTCAAGAGTATAGCACTCTTGTAGAGTAGTGGCAGCGGGATGTAACTAGAAATCACTTTCCCGCCTCTTGCAGGTAAATTGGTCACAGAATTGTTTAAACAAGGGCTGGGGATAGATCACGTGACGATGCCCTCCTTAGGAACCAACTAGATGGCTGTGGGCTTACCAAAAGTGGCAAGTGTCGATATGACTTGCAGTACATCACAACCTGGTCCATTAGAAGCTTCACTGTACGAGTTGGGACATCCCTAATCGGTAGTACAGACCAGGTCCGTCCTGCCTGTCACTGCTCGGGGATGGAAGCCACAGGCCTGTGATAGGTTAGGCGGGATGAATCCTTGTGTACTGTATGTACTTCTCAGGACTCCGCCCATTCACCACTAGGTATACTTTTTCACTCAAGTAGCACTCGTAGCACTTTATACATAGGCGGCAACCAGAGGAACAGAGGACTCGGAGTTTCTTCGGGCACATCCATGATCTGACCCCGTTGTCTGCCTCTCTGACACTGTGATCTCATACTTATCACCCACACAAATACGAAGAAATCGCAAACGTGTTTCGCCCTTGTTTCTGTCCCACCAGATCTGTTCAACATCATCTACCATTCTCCCCTTTAATCTCTACTCACACAGCACTCCTCTGATACAACCTCCTCGTTCGAGTCCTCAAGCTGCCGTCGTGTGCCTCCCCAGTTCATACTCCACCAACTCACTCCTCCGAGTTCAACCACACAAAACTCATCCAAGCAAACGACTCCAGCAAAACTGAAGATCCTGACCTACCTCCTGGTCAGCCTCTACACCACCACCATCGCGCAGGCGGCTCCCTCCTAGTACATGGAAATGGATGTGGAGACCGCATGCGGGAGGTTTGGGGTGATGAAAGTTGATCCAGCCGATCTCCCCGCAGGAGTGATCATGGCAGAAGTCCGCAAGTGCCGCAACCATCCCATGAACCGTCCTGAGTACCTCGGCCCCGGTGCGCGTGGTGGTGCCGGTCACTTCCGTCGTTTCCTGGCGTAAAGACAGTCATACAGTACGTCTTGGTGGTTGTGGTCGGTGATTACTCAGTTGGATGGGTGTTGATTTTGTTCGACTCGACGAGCATGAGGGTAAGTCTGCTTTTCTTCCTATAGTTGAAACCGCGTGGTAGATCTAACTCATAGTTAAATAGGAGTCCCTTCGATCCCAGATCATTCCTAGCCTTGAGGTCGCCAAACAACGCCGCTGAAGACGGTCCATCTGCCACCGACGATACGAACCTTTCCATAACCTGATTTATCTCGAATTCTGACACGTCGATTTCTATTCCTGAAGAGACGTATGCAGCCAGTCCCTGTTCATCGAGCTTCGACAGTGAAGCCTAACGCACAGCAGGATGTGTGGTTTCTTTTGTTTCTCCTAATAAAGCTTTCACTTCCGGATGAGACTGTGAACCTTAAGGAGCACGTAGTATCGTTAAATTTTCTAGAAAGACCTCGAAATTATATAGCTCTCTCGGCGTCATCAACCTCGAGACTGAGAGTGGGACCTTGCAGAATAAATCCCAGGCGAAGAATTGTAACTCAAGTAACGGAGGTCTCCGTCGGAGCTCTTAGGGCTTTCCCGAAATGATATCACCCTCTGGATTTCGGGCCGTTGGGTCCGACTGGGCCAGAAGTTAGTACAAATGGCTCAGAAGTCACATAAACTGCAAGCTGTAACTAGAGTAGAAAGACCCTAGTCCTGTCGGAGTCTACCTTATCCAACTCTTTCTTTTCTCACCCAGCTACACCTTTAACTATATCACAATCCAAACCTTATTAGAGGTCTAATTATCTGTTAAGCTATAGAACTTTAAAAAGTCCTAGAAACCCTAATACAAAAAAATAATATAAGATATTCTCTGCTAGAAAGTCTGATAGAAAGTCCAATTACAAAATAACCCTCAGCCTTAAACAACTCTAAAGACCCTTGAACACGGGCCACTTCGGAGTACCGGAAATAACGCTGCCTGCTCAGGGCACAAGGTATTGATGGTCGCAGAGAAACAAATCGGGGAAAGTAGCCATAAAATGCGCAAAATGCAGATGACAAGCACATACGACCACAGGGTGTGGAAAATAGGGCTTCCCGTCCGCTCAGCCGTACTCAAGCCACACGCCGGGAGGTTAGTAGTTGGGTGGGTGACCACCAGCGAATCCCTTCTGTTGTATGTTTTTGTCATTTTTTACTTTCTTTTCGGGTTGGATATCCACTCCCTGCATCTATATAGTATTTTCAATGTCTCTGCCCTTATAACCTTCACATAAACAACAAATAAATGTGTCAGTATCCTCATGTATCTAAATTTTACATCACGGATCGTCAAACGAACCTTGATAAGGAAATAGACGAGCTCTATGTGTCAGAAATTCAATTTTGCTTCTTAATTGGTTACACCCATTGTATTTATGGTCTTTCTATGCTATGGATAAAATAGTGTAAAGAGATACATGCAGCGACTGACTTGTCATCCGGGCCATGGCAACGATCGCCTCGTGACAGGATCGCAGCAAGTCAAGGTGGCAAGCTCAGGGCTGCGGATTCCCCCTGTCTCTGCGACGGCGCTCGGACCGAAGGTCACTCATGAAACCCATGAAAGAGAAAATGACGAACACAGAGGAGAGGTCCAAAGAGAGGGGGTCGGAAGCGGCCCTCCTCCCACCTGCGAGTGGGAAGTCGACCCGGCCTGCATTGCTCCAGAGCAGTGGCGCCCCGGGATGACGCGGAGAATCCTCGTAGTACAACCGCATAGTCTGCAGCGAGAGGCAGCTCACCGACCCCGCGAAGAGCATGTCCGCCGGGTAGGTGTGGTTCTGGTGCTGGAGGCGCCACTCGTGCTGGAGGAAGCGCTGGGCGAACTCCCACGGGCAGCTGCCCGCAGCGAGATCGGCGGGGGTCTCGAAACAGAAGATCGGGATGGTGGCGCCTGTCGGCGGGGTCTGGGCTCCGCGGGCGGCGTCCAACGTCGCTCTCTCCGAGGTCACTTGGATGGTGTGGTCTTCGAACTCAGTTTCCCAGCTGTACATGTGGCTGTCGATGAATGTGCGTGCGGAAGCCATTGTGGTGAAGATGTGGGTGGAACTTTCGTGCTTGTGCGCGGCTGAGGAATGCTTTGGGCAGATTTGCAGAAGATTCTTCTGGGTGGTGATGGGATGATCTCTGGAATCGTGGTGATAGAGGGGATATTTATAAGCCTCAGGATTGTCTAGCAGCCTTTGTTACGTGTGCTTCTACACAAGCGAACCTTGGATTACCGAGGTGGATTCTTGAAATGGACCATTGCACTACGACCGACAAAGAATAAGTATTGGCGTAACTTCAGTTCAGGCGGTTCGTCCAAAGCCTTGGGTAAGTCGAGTTTGTCTAACCAGAAGTTGGCCACTCACTCATTATCCGTTCAAGTCAGATGCAATTCTATTGTTGTAGAAAGTGTTCCGGTTTTCTCCCCTGATAAGGCTATATCCTTTCCAAATTATAGCTAGTATTGCCCAGGTCCGGTGGAATGATTTGTAGTTTTCGCCAAAGAAAGAATATCCGTACTAATATCCAGTTTAGCCTGTGGCTCTCTAACTTCGGCAAGTCATTTGAACAGACTTTGCGAACTCAATACAAGATGCAGCCTCGCGAGTTGGCCCAATGTCACGAAGCGGACGGCCCAGGGGTTGTTTGGGAGGACGTATTCTATGCTAAAATTGTATGTGCGGCCGGATTATAAGGTGCAGATAATAACGGGGCAGCAGTGGGGGCAAATGTCTGCTTACCCTCTGGTGGGTGATGGTATCAATATTGTGCGCTTTGGAAAGGTGATAAGTGATTGGTGTGTGTTGTCATACCAGTCTGGGCGGGATGACAATTCGTTGGACCATTGGTAGATGGCTTGTCTCTTTGTTCCTGGGTTTCGAGGAGGATTGTGCCGGCATTTTATGCATGTTCTTTTCTGAAGACATAGGAACAATGCAAGGGGCTTAATGAAATTGATTAAGAGAGATGAGCACAAAAGAGAGTAAGTGAGGAACAAGCTGGCTTCAGCTACGCCGGAAACAGCACAGTATACAAGCTGACTAGAACACATCAATCTGTGCCGCGCACATATCCCCATATTAACCATTGTCAATGGGGTCGGCAGCAGACTTATCAAGCCCAGGCGCATTGAGCCTTGGGTCTGTAACGGTTTGTATTCAATATCAATGGTTTACGCACACAGGGATAGAGTGCGGGAAGAACTCAATTGTGAGGCCGGGACAGCAGAATAAAAAGCATAGACGATGCCACAAGATGACAAGAATGAAGGCTAGAATTGGACGTGGCTCCATGCTCCTCACCAGACAGTCCCAAGATAAAGTATGTGCTCCCCTCCTGGGCGAATGTTGGGTGTGGTGGCACGACCGTTTCGCGGTAACGCACGAGCCTATTTCATTCACTGACGTGCAAATGTCGGGTAAAATCAATCTACTTGTCGATTAAGGGACTATTGATAATAGGGGTTCGGGGCTAGTGATGCGGACGATAAGCTAGGGCTAAGGTGGGTGTGGGGCGGTCAAGGACAACGACTAGATGATTTGGCTAGTCTAGCGATACTTGAAGTGCAGATGATAGTGCTTCTGATGGATCCCCGATAGTGGTGAGATTGAGGCTGTCGGGGCTAGCTAAGGACACCGCAGTGAGGGGTGGGAGATAAGGCCGGCCAACGAGGCCTCGTGGTCTCCATGGCTGCTGTCTGCTATCGATCCCACGTAGTCTATTCCAAAGTGACTTTTGTGTCCAGCAGAGTAAAGAATCAATCAATATGCGTGCGCTCTTCAAGCATATCACCCTACGCGCCTAGATCCAAGAGCCCAGAATGGCGGAGCAAGGGAAGTGTGTCAATCGCGGAAATCAAACCCACCAAGATGGAGGCCCACCCAGCTCCCATGAATGGGGTCGGAGGGTGCTGCGGAGGGTGGAAGTAAAGAGAGGGTCGAGTGGGTGTGTAATAAGGAGTATGCTTGGTGTTGAGTTGAGTTTCAATTGTCTGATGATAGCAGTCTTTCCTGGATGGCTCCTATCTCAATTGATTCCCGAATATAGAAGTGGGGGATGATCATGAACACTCATCACAAAAAAGCAATGTGTTCTCACACGCTAACCTGCGAACATCTTCATCCCTCCCAGGTGAACTCCAAAACCGCTAAAGCAGATCCCACCGGGCGATGCACCGCCGACAGGCCAAATCGCGCATCCGCCGCCCCGAACAGCGCCATCCAATCCTCCAGCGTTCGTATTTCAACTACGTCTGGTCGAGCCGGAAAAGGAGTGTACGACGAAGAATTTCTGGTTCAATAAGCCGGTGGGAGTCAGGGTTCTCTTTGAAGAGAGAAGGGGTCTTTCCTCATCGGGCTGATTCCTTCCCAGAGCTTGAGAGCTTGAGATGCGCGCGGGGGAGTGAAAGCTGTTCTTTATCTCTCCACTCAGAGCAGAACTGAGTCAATCAGGGCACATGCAATTGGTGAGCTTAGTCTATTTGAGCAATAAAGCCTGGGGAGAAGCTGGGGGATCGGCTGCAGCTCCGAGAACACATGATATCTGGCCAGATGGGCCCAGCACCCCCTCCTCCAGGATGCATTTTCTCGGTATCAAGTAGCTGAAAGCATGCTAGATACTAATTCACAAGAGCACTGCAGCTAGCCATCTCCGAGTCAATGGTGGTTGAGCTCTCGTGGGCATCAAGTACTCTACCCAGCTCTTTTCATTCTTTTTCCGTTAGATACACATTCAACATAGCCCTAGAATCCGCAATCCCTGCATGTTAGGTAACAAGTATAGGGCAGGATAAGATGAAATGCACAGAGTGTTGATTCTCTGCAAGACACGTTGCCACGCGCACACATTGTATCTATCAGATGTAAATGTGCTGGCGTTTGGGATAGTTTTCCGCACGGTTGGTTGAATAATGTCACGTCCATAGCGCAGAACACAAGTAGCTTAACATGTTCTGCCATTAAAGCACCCAGCTTGAGAGCCTGTCTTTGAGCAAGCTCTTATTACCTACTAGGTAGCGAGAGGGCTACGTGTTTCGCGATCCATAAAGGTCGCATTTCCGGGTTTTCAAGATGGTTACGCACGTTCTTCCTCGGCTGCACTCAGTCAACAACTGCTAACATCAACATCAACACCAAGCATACTTCTCATTACACACCCACTCCACCGTCTCCTCCGGACCCTCCGCCCCCATCCACCACAACCCCGGAATACTCCCCGTCTCGCCCACCACCACCGGAACCCCCTGCTCCCCCGCCACCACCTCCACAGCCTTTTTGATCAGAGGCGTAGGATTCCACATCCGCACACTCCGCAGCCCCGCCTCACATGCCTCGCGCTGCGCTCGCCGCAGAATCCCCGCGATAGCCCGTACCACCCGCCGCCCCTCCGCCGACTCCACCGCAAACCCCTCCTCATCCCCCTTCCCACACACCCAATACAGGATATACAAAACCCCATTCTCGGGTAGATCACCATAATCATGACTCCACGCACAGCACACCCCAGCCTCATCATCCCCGGCCCCTTTGATCAACGGCACCGGCCGCGGCGGCTCCATCAGCCGGGCCGTGAGGTCCTCGCGCGCCTGGAACCACGCAAAATGCTCCCAGCTGGGGATGATGGCGAAGTGCACCGTCGCAGCACCAGCACCACCAGCTAACCTTCCTTCCCGCAACGAAGCGCACCTCATCCGCTCCCGCAACCGACCCAGCGCCGCATCACTACACATACACGCGCGAACATCCTCAGCCAGTAAATCCCGTATCCCCTCCGCCTTCCCAAGCCCTTCCTCCGCTTCCCCATGAATGGTACTAGTGTCCAACTGCGCAGCAGAAACCCCCCACCCCACCGCAGGGAACCCCCTCCCCCCAAACCCCTTATAAAACCCCGTCCCAATCTCAGAAAACCCCATCACGAACCGCGCATCCCCCCCACCGGGCCCGGCCAACTGGCGCACCAGCTCGCGCAACATGCGGGATGCGTACCCCTGCCGTCGAAACTCCGGGCGCGAGTAGAGGTTCGCAATGCCGTAGCCGGTGACTTCCTGGAGGGTGCCGTTGCGCGCGACGAGGGCGCGGCGGCGGTAGGTTTCGCAGGCGCTGAGGATTGTTGTGGGGTCGGTGGGGTCGATGAGGATCCAGCATGTTAGCTTGCCGTTGGCGGCGAGGGGCTGGCTGAGGAGGGCTTGTTCGCGGGCGAGGTAGGCTGCTGTGGTGAGGGGGGTTTTCCACTGGGTGCTGTTGAAATGGGTGGCGGTTGCGTGTTCGGCGGGGGTGGCGGAGTGGAGGGTTAGGGTTTTGGTGGGGGAGGGGGAGGGGGAAAGATTTTCGACGTTGGGGGTGGGGGGCATGGTAGCTGGTTTGCGGAGGATTGAGGGATGGAGATTATAAAGTGCAGGTGGAGGTGCCTTTATAGTACCTACCTACCTACCTACATTGTCCCTCCCGTGCCGCCCCCACTTGCTAGTTGTGCGTGGCGCCTACTTAATGGAGTATACTATGAATCCTTCGTCTATATCCTTAGTCTGGCATGGATGTACCGCGTTTACTGTGTTTGGCTTAGTCTACGAGAAGAATGGCGACCTCAGGTTGAAGCCTAGAACATAGTGTTGGAAGTAGTGGTGTCATTGGATTGTGTCTATGGACCGCGGTTGTGCTAGCTAAGCATAAATTAATTCCATAAGACTTGGTGTTAGGTCAGAGGATCGGCCAATTCGTCGCTTGGCAACGGTCCGTAAGCAGAGCTAGCTAGACGAATGACAGAGGCGGCCGGCGGAGAGAAAGAGTCAAGTCTAAAAGGATGGAAAATGGGCAACGAACGGCCAAGCAGATAATCAACCCCGAACTTTCCGGTAACTGGGCGGACTCCAGGACCGCATGATCAGTTTCCCGGCCCAGACAGGGACGACGGCCACGGCGGTGACGGCGACGACGCGCCAGAGCCAGTCCAGGGTGATGATGTAGGCGAGATCGAAGTAGTCGCCCAGGAAGGGGACGCTCGCGGCGTAGACCAGGGCGGTGCTGATGATCGAGAAAATCATGAAAGGGTGCCAGGTGGTGATGGCGATGGCAACCATGAGGAGTTCGTTGATGACCAGCGCGGTGAAGGAGACGCTGATGAGACGAGGGCCCGTGATCGTGTCGAGCAGGATCTGGGACAAGCCCTGAATAACTGCCCCTTGGAAGACGGACACAAAGACCCAGGTGAAGAAGGAGCGGTAGCTGAGACTGCGCCCCGTTTTGAGTTCTTTATATAACTCCGGGTAGAGGTTGGCCAGTTCTTCGTCGACATCCCGGTCGAAGACGAGTGAGAAAACTGGCCCGCTGGTGTAGATCGTCGCATACCCCACCATGAGCCAGTTGATAAAGAGACCCTTGGGGTCGAAATGACTAGCGATGCTATACATAGTCTGGCAGGCGCTGATGATAATACCACGGTGCATGATGAACTGCGCCAGCTTGGCGGACCGCTTATACGAGTTGCGCCCGTGCCAGACCAAAAGCTTAGTGAGGTGGTGGAACTGCGTGATGCTGAAATCCGCAGCAAGAGAGGCCTGTCGGCCTTCTTTGCCCACGATACCGATACCCACGTCCGCAGCTTGGATCATGGAGACATCATTACCACCGTCACCAATGCAGCAGACACGCTTCTTGGTGTGGTGGCGGATGAGGTCGGCGACTTCGGCCTTCTGAGTCGGAGAGCAGCGGCAAGCGATAACAGCGGGGAGGAGCACGGCGACAGAGATGAAGGATAAGCGGAATTGGCTCAGCATGAGAGCAAGGGATTCGCCGTCAATGAGGAGGCAACAGTCGGTCTTGTTGCGCAGGAAATCCAGGGCTTCTTGAGCCGTAGACTTATCTTTGACCTTGGCGACAGTGTGGATATACTGTCCACGAGCGACTAATTTGGCGGAAATTGCCACGCAACGTGCGGTTTCGACCTTATCTCCTGTCAACATCCAGATCTTCACTCCAGCGTTGCGGAGCAGCTCCAAGGAGGGCTTGACGTCCCTCTGGAGACGGTCCTCCACACCAGTCACCCCAAGAAGCTCTAGATCCCGTTCCAGGTATTCGCCAATCACCTTGGCCATACCTGCATCTCTTCCTTGTAGGGCGAGCGATGCTTGTCTGTACTTTGTAGTGAACTCTGCGTACTGTTGCTCGGACAATCGCCTCCTTCCGACCACCAGAGTCCGCAGGCCCTCACGAGCCATATTGGCGGTTTCCTCATCAAGCCAATCATTGGTAGCGACAATCGTGGTCATGACGGTGTCTGCACCCTTCTGATAAAACCAGATCTCATTTTCGTGCTTGGATGAGTCCAATATGCTTTCGTCGGTCTCGAATTGGACGATGATTCCCATCCGCTTGCTTTCGGATGTGAATGGAAACAATTCGAGGATCCGAGCCCGCACAACAACGTTGCCGGTGTGAGTAGACTCGAGAACTATGGTCTGTCGATCGCGGTAGGCCAGCTTCAACCCGACATCCTCTGTGTATCGAACAATGGCGATCTCGTCGGGCGAAGATGCCTGGTAATTAGTAACCTGAACACCATCCTCTTCGTCGGTAGTGGGGGTGACATTGTGGCAAAGCGCAAGAGCTAGGACGATATCTCGAACGCGCGAGCCTATCTCCCTTCGTGTGCGGGGAGCCGCCCCGGAGCCAACTTGCGTTCCAAACACGGCTGATGGCGTAGTGAGGGAGTCTCCTGAGAAGCTTTGCTTGACGTAGGAAGTCACCTCTTCCATCGCTTCATTGGCATACGAGACGGTGCCCACATGGATTTTCTTGAGCTCCATTTCTGGGTAGTGTCAGCGATCTGTCCCTAGTTATAGCACAAGGTGACATACCGTTTTGCGTCAGGGTACCTGTCTTGTCGGAAAGGAGGTATTCAATTCTACCCAGGTCTTCAGGGATAGTGCTTGTCCTTACGACAGTCCCAGGAATATCCTTATCCTTTTCAATGAATCGGCCATAAACCGATTTCGCCATGTCCAAGTTGACCCGCAAGCTCATTGGGATGATCGTCGAGAACAAAATCAAATAAATCATGATAGCGACATACCAGACCTTGTCATTAGTAGGTTGAAACCCTTCCAACGCAACTAGAACAATTGAAAGAGCAAGAGTTAAGATGCACAGAATCTTAGTCAAGTTGTTGATCTCATATTCCAGTAGTCCGACCTTCGATCTTGACGGAGAGGTTGACAGCGCAGCGCGCGTTTGTGACCCTGTATAGATGATAGCAGCGTAAGTAATTGTATTAGATGCAAGAACGGTATTGGCCCATGCGGTGTTGTCAATCGTCAAAGGAGCGGAGTTTGGCTGGGACTCTTGATCGTCCTGGTCTCGCTCGTGGTTGGATTTGTCCACGTGCGGGTCATAAGAAGACGATCCCAGCTCGATGTTACCGACAAACTCGTTAACCCGTCTATCTGGTGCGCTTGCAGTAATTTTGAGTCGGGTGAAGTTGCGAAGGGCCAGACTTTGAGACAGTAGAGAAGGCAGGCGTAACTTCCAGTCAGTTTCTCCATCTAATTGATCCGTACGTATGAACGTGTCATAGGCCGAGGAACTGTTTGCTTCATTTGTCACGTCGCTTGTGCTGGGTTCATCTCCATGGTCGTCCGGAATAAGGTTCGAAGGTCGCTCCACGGCAGAGCTCTGACGAGCAGCAGTGTCATTAGAGAGACTCTGGAGAATCACTACGTCTGCAGGCAGGCGTTGATTCTTGCGAACCTTCAGGACATCGCCGACTTTCAAGTCCCTTGATCTCTTTGTCACTTCTAGAACACCTGCCGGTCCGCTAAAGCTCAAGACGGTAAACTCCTCCGCATTTGCCTCAGCATCTCTGCGCCGGCGACCAATATCATCCAAAGCTTCCTTGCCGAGCGAGATTGAAACGACAAAGGCGAGAGGTGCAATATATGAAGACATGTAGCCGATTCGGAGCACAGGCAATATCTGTGACAAGGCGACGAGGAGGAAATATATGTTGAAGAAGAAAGAGAATTCGTTGTAGAGGGTACGGGGCAGAAAGCTCCAGGGGGTGTATTTGGCGTTCGATACAATGTTTGGTGGGTATTTTAACCGCTGCGTTTGCCCGACGAACACATCGCGCGGAGGCTTGGTCTCGGTCGGATTCAGATCCTCTGCTGCTGGAGGGTGAGAGGAGCCGAACCAAGCTCCTGCAGCCTTGAGACCTGGAATCCATCGCCGCGGGCCCTTCTGCGACAACCGCTCCATATCCCTGAGAGAGCGAGCAGAGCTACGCCGGCGTGCGTTAAGCAGAGGGGCATCATCATCAGTGTATGTGCGCGAACTAGCGTGCGACCTTCGAAGTCCGTCCTCATCGCGATCCTGGTCCTCGAGTAGCCCCTCTGTATCCTCCAACCCTCCTCCATGTGTTCCAGAGGTGGTTCGCTTCCACCGGTTCCCAACTCCGACGCGGAGATTCCGCAGCGCTATGCCCGGACCACGACTCCTTTGTCGATTTTCTTCTTCCCTCGACAGGCGATGTGCCCCGTAAAGATGTGTTGTGCTTGGGTCGAGCTCCTCTAGGTCGAGATCGTCATCCGAGCCAGAATCGCCTGCGATGCTGGACCGGTCGTAAGAATGGGGGTACTCGGATAATGAAGGCATGACAGGCAGAACAGGGAAAGATTAATGATGGCGTTCCATGCGATAGAAGAGTTCCGGAAGCTGCTGTGAGTTCAAGGGTATTCTCATGTCACGGTAAATCGCATGCAGGTTGTCCCGAGCAAAGCATCGCTGTTGTCGGGGTTTGGAGGGGGGCGGGCTGTGTACGTTTCGCCGCGATTGCGACTGCGGGATGCGGATGCGCGCCAAAGGTGGATAGGGTATACGCAATTGCGAAAGCGAATTCAGGATGGTCAGGGAAAATCTTTCAGTACTTTGGGCCACTCCTGAGATCGACCCAGTTGACCATCGGGTGAAAGAACGGTTTTTTGGGAACTAGCTTAATCAATGATGGTGGCCTAAAGAGTCGAGAGGCTGTGATGGCAGGCGGAGAGCGGCCCAATCACATGACGACGTGCCGAGTCGCCGACTCCACGCGCGGGTGTGGCTTACCAACTACTAAACCATCGATGTCATCGGCACATCGGTCGGAGGGTATCTCTTTCCATCTAACTTTCTTTGGCTTCATTCATACCACTCTATATCTGTGATTCACACAAGGACAATCCTCTCCTGTATAACCATTGTTGAGATGTCAGCATGGGCAATGTTGTCTCTTAAAGATTGTAGATATACTCTATCTTCTCCTCCA